AAATTAGTGTAGAACTACTTCATTAAGTAAAAGGAATTAAACTTTGCTTTCCAATGAATTAAGTACAGAGTTTGGTATTTATTCATTTATATAACGGTCCTTTTGAGAATAAATATTGTCAATAATAGTACACTTCAATGGGCCTATAACTCGAAATTGATAATGTCTAGGTACAAAACTATACCAACCTATGTAATTTCATCTCAGTTCATGAATAGCGGTCACTATTCTCGTAACGCTGGCAACGTGTTCGTGTGATGTATCTGTTTTATCAAGTAAGTATTTAAATAATCTAAGACTTTTGCTCTTAACATTAAGGCTTATATTACAACAAACAAGAAAAAATACAACCGTAACAATAATTTTCCACACACAGACAATAGAAAAGATAATTATAATCTGCGAAATACAGTGGCAGAAACGTTTAAATATAGTTGTAAAACATAACAATGGCGTAAACCGCGAACCGTTACTTGGACCTATTATTCTCAACTCCGGTGGTATTAATAACATAAAAAAGGAATAGAAAACAATAGCAGCGTGCATGTTAATCACACGGATCCATCAAACACATGACCATGTAATAAAACAGGTAGCAAAGTCAAGCGCACCCTGCCTACCCAATTTATTCCACATCCGCTGTATTATATTACGTATTCTGTAAAAAAATGGAACTCACAAGGCGACTGGTCATTCGATCAGTCGTTGGATGCGTCCGCACTCCAGTAGTCAGGTAGTTAACCCACAGAGTTTACAAACCAAAGGTCCGAACCGTAAAATAAAGGCCCTTTGCAATTTTTGTCACATTTCACAGTCCAACCGCAGTTAGTGGCACGAACAGGTGAATAGGAGATTAGTGGAGGCGCACACAACAATAGAAGCACTGTACAGGCCATAAACAGTTAATAGACACTGTGGTTAAGAGAAAAAGTTATTACAGTGATGTATTGAGCTATCATCGATGCACTTCGCTAAGAACGACACATTTACAACACTGTGTTCTCATGTGTACACTGAAATCCACTGATAAAGTTTTATACCAAATGTTTTTTATCACTGTTAATTGTAGGTTCGTAGAACGTCAAGATTGCGTATGCGCATACGGCGGGCGCTTGGTGGGAGAGAAGCGCGCGTACTACTGCGCCTACGTCGTCGGAGGCAGTAGCGCTCCTGTACCCCCCGCCTCTCTCCCCTTCAGTGCGCCTGCAACCGCCGCCGATCCGCCAAAGCCTTCTATACTGTTTTTACTTTGGAAGCAATAAAAAAAGGGAAGGATATCGTTCGATTGTTTATTTTTCGTGTTAGTAGCATATAAGTCGTGTAAATTGACGCCGCCCTCGAATGTTTAGATTGGGCATCATGAATTTCGTTCACGGTCTCTAAGTGAAAATAAAAGTTTATTTAAATGTGTAAATGTGTGTATACTAGGTACCGATTTTTAATGTGTATTTAATAAAATATATAAACTTGTTATAAAGTGTAATTTTTTACACACATAAATCAATTTTAGTTATCATTTGACGTGTAGTGATGATATAAGAACATCCAATACCGCATACCGTCCGGTATCGTAAGGTGTCGTAAGTGGCGACAGAGAGAACGAACAGGATATCAGCAGCAGCGTCTTGTTAATACTGTTACAGCCTGTTAAAGTCCACTGCTGAACGGAGGGTAAGCCTCAATAGTTGCTGTTAACAAGCGGGTTGGCAATGGCAGTTTCTATTTTTAGTCATCAGGAAGACGTCGCTGCCCGTCTTCTGATTTGTTTCACTCTGTCGCCTCTTACCACACCCACGCCACGGAATGATATGCTATCACACGTTAAGTAGTCTAGGCACTACGTAGGTAGTCTTTCTAATAACATCTAGAAAGTAAAATAACTGCGGTTGAAAATCCTCCTGTCTAAGGTGCAAGCTATGCCAAATATCTCCTCTTTGAGGCAATCTATGGTTATATATCTACATAGAATACTATAATACATATATAATAGAACTAGTAGAGTAGTCACTAAAATGTCACTAACATGTCAATTCACACGTATAACTGTCAACACGAAATGTGTTTTGACGTTACAATCGTTTCCAAATCTCGCATGCAAATTATTTAGAAAATGCCAAATTGCACACTATTTACAAATAAATATGTATTCAAGTTTAAACGATTTTTTTAATGATCTTGAACATTAATCAAAAGTCTAAAATGTTTAAATTTACCCAATCTGTCAACACAGCGAATCGGGTTTGTAGTAGTGATAGTACGACGTTATTGCTTATATGTGTGCTCCCGGCGACGCAGACCCTCGTACAAAATAAGGTTGACAGCCATTCTATGGTGTATTATAGTATTTTATGTATATCTATATATTTATGTTCGAATTGACGAATCATTTGACGATAGAATAATTATGAATAAAAAACTAAACATCAAATATTCGTAAAGAAAACTGCAAACAGTTAAGTACTATTAATATTTATTACAACAAATTCTATTAATACATCCACATAAATTATTTTAAAAATATCCCTTTTGGGACATAATTCCATGTATTATATTCTTTTTCCACTTTACTAAATCCGACAATATGGGGCTTAAGTAACATGTTAATATGATTTTGAATGTTAAACTTCTTCGTCTAGATTACTTTATGAATAACACCTTTCGTCTTCAACAGTAGAGCGCGAAGTTCTACACCGTTATAGAATGTATTCTATATTAATAATACATATTATATTATCTCATGTATTGGTTTCAACTTCAAGTTTTAAAAATCTATTTGGTAACATTTTGGCAAGTGGATCATTATAATATTTCATTATTTGTGATATATATTTTTGGATCTATAACTTTAGGTTTCTTATTTATGAACACATAATAGTTAATTCCCCTCAATATCAATAAATATTTATAATAATAAACAGTATTTAATATAAATGTGCTCTTTAAAATTTGCATTGAATGACAAAAGAAAATATTTCTTAAAAAGTATTTTTCACCTATTATCGACATTAAACACTCACTAATATAAAGGCTACTCTCTCTATAAGCATAAAACCAAGTCTGTTTATATTCAAGTCTTTATTTTTCATTTAAATATATTTGAGCGTTTACGTGATTATTTATTTACACGACGACATCTTGAATTTAACTTCTTTAACATTTAACCATTTAATGCACATTTTTAAGTCACCTATTATGGACCACTTTCTAATTGTATTATTAGATTTTAGCATCTTGCATCATACTCTTTTTACTACATCTACTCGTAATATTTATACATCTGTTTTATATTTGAAATACATTTCAAAAACATTCATATTTAAAATATACGAAAAGATTAAAAGAAATTTATAAATGATTTCACAACACCAATAAAATATTAATTCCTTTTAAATAGTTTAAAGAATTACCTTTTGAATAAAATAGTAAAATTACCCTAATGATAACTTTCTCATATCGTATCTAATAATCGCAAATATCTACTAATCTTAATATTTTTAATGACTAAGAAACTGATTGTGGCACATCGATTTACTAGGACATTCATTTCATATTTTACTACCTCTACATTTTACATTAAGTACTGTATTTTAGGACAAACTTCCATATACTCGTATATTTCTGTAGAATACTTATCTTGAAGAAAAACACCATCATAACTAAGACGATTTCAAATGTAAATAACATACTATTAACATTAATAGTTACAGATAAATCGTCTTTACACAATATATCGATTATAAAATCGGGAATTATTTTTATAAGGATTACGGAAACGTTATTCATTCTTGGTTAAAATAGTATTTTATCGAGTTCTTCATCTATTTAGGATCAATATTTAAGACGTCTGAATTAGTCTCATTGGCTCAGTCACATGTACAAAAAGACAATATCTTAAATCTTCATTCCATAACATTTTTAATAATAACTTTAGAATTACATCGTTTAAAGCTATGCTTTTATAAAAACAATGTTTCATCTTCGATGCACCGTTACAATTTATCTAATCTTAATGCTTGCTAAAATCCTAAGAACCCAATATATTTTTAAATTATAATTTATAATATACATTCGAATGCTTTCATTGAATTATTATTTTATTTTTGATAAGTAATTTCTGCCATCATTGATATTTTATTAAATAGATACTTAGTTATATGACTGCTCAAATTCTTATTCAATATATTAATTTTGTCGATTTAGGACAGATTTTTAAATCGTCAGTTAAAAGTTTTCCATCAAATAGATTACAACCTGATTGAATATAAAAGTCAAATAATTTAACTAGGTATTTTATACATACTGTACTATACACTATTCATACTTCATGTTGTTTTCGATTTGTTTATGTTGTATTATCCAATGAATAAATTTTAACAGAAGATTGAAAAATTGGCACTTAATCAAAGATATTTTAGGAGGGACTACGAAGCTATAATGACAGGACGGGTACCAACGTTGTAACGATTTAAATGGCATTAGTGGCATACATATTGTTTATCAATCTCTCTAAAACAAATTTTATAACATCTATCTCGATTTTATGTGATCACTAGTACTTAAAAAATAATTGCTACCTTTTTAAATTTACATGACGATATTGTATGTAATCTTGACGAAATTGGTCTCACTATTTCGTAACTGTTTTATGATTAAAACAACACACTTTGGTTTTCTAGACCATCATGGGGGTGGTTTACATATATGAACTGCATAAGAACCCACATCCAGACCTGGAACGATGATTTGTATGCCACACAAACTCTTGTTTCGTGCGAGATTAGACCCCTTGGTACCTTCGTGCTGCGACAAAATGCTTGCCCACTGCGATACGGAGCTTTCAAATCGATTATTTTATACGCTATAGGCATAAATATAAAGTATTTATTTTGGTCGTTCTTAAAGGGTTATTAGGTTCACGGATATATCAAATGAGAACTACTACAGTTTTATAAAATAAATTATATAATATCGAATGAATCTTCCCATATCATGTGTCGTCGTCAACCGGCTTTCATCCATCTGTCTATGGAGTATTCCAGGGCTGCCATCCATCTATAACAATAAAATTATATTATTAACTAACATTTCAATAATAAGAATTTCCGTAGTGGCGGTGTAAGAATATCCACTATCCCATTTAATTCTATGGGTGTTTTATATATTGAGGGAAACTGAAACGGGAGACGGGCAGGTGCAGCATCCTTCTGATAACAACTGAAAATAAAAATAAAACTCCAGTTGCTGATCTGCCTGCTAAGCGTAGCAAATATGGCAAAATCCCCCCAGTATCAATGGGATAGACTGTAATGTCGCCTCTACACGTTGGCCAACACAGTGGCCAATGTAGTGGCCAATAGCATTGGCCAACGTGTAGACGGGGTGTTTGGGCTTCATTGGTATGTATTGGGACGATGGCCCACAAGTTGGCGCGAGATCCGTGTGGTGTCGGTTTTTTACAAAAGATCAAAGGATTGTTGGCAGAGTTTGGTCGCCGCGTCCACACGTTGGTCACGCATTTAGTTTGCTACAAGCTCCCAGAGTGATTACACGCATCTGATTTAAATTTTATATTCAAGCTTTGTAGGATGGATGCCCCAATTACCAGCCTTTTAGTGCCAATTTCAACTTTAAACATTCCTACTGCTTTAATTAGTGCGATTTAATTATTTTTAAACATTTGTTTTAATCGATTAATTATTTATCAAAAAAAATAACGAACATTTATTTACAATCAGATTATTACGAGAACAATTTTAAAATGAAAAACAAAAATGAAGCACGTCGTTTATACGTGGTAGAACCATGCAGTTATATTAGAAGTATATATAGTTGTAGCACGAATGGGTTGGCTCAACCGGGGAAGGACCACGCTCTCACAGAATATCAGCGTAAAATAGTAGCTTAATGATGCTGTGTTTCGTATAGTGAGTGTAGAGAAACGAGGCATTTCATCTTTGTCCTCACGGGTGAGAACGCATATGCATTTTGATTCGTAATCGAGGATAGATGTAGATGTCTGTGGTCCACAGTAACCACTTACCATCAGGTGAACTGTGTGCTCGTTTGTCACCCTATCCTATAAAAAAAACGTCGACTTCTTATAATTCAATCGTGCAAGTTTTCGAATCATCATCATCATTACAGCTGTTCACAAGTCCACTACTGAACATCCTCCTCCACAGACTGCCGCAAAGCATGGTCCTGAGCCACTTTGCTCGTCATGAGTTTTTCATTTATGTTCTAAGTTATAATTAGTACCTATTATTAAGTCAGTTTTAATTATATTTATTGCTATTGTTTTTGTCTTTCTCAAAAAATAATTAAATTACATTGGCCCGAACCGAAGTAAACTGAACGACCTTCCAACGTGTGGACGCCGTCACCAACTCTCGGCCAATATATTCGCTACTACATTCGCCACTGTATTGGCCAACGTGTAGAGGCGACATAACGGTAACAATTAAAACACATTCTATAACAAATGAGCTGAAAATAAGCAGTAGTCGTCTATCAACAGGTCGACTGTTGGTAAATGCCTACAGTAGCTCATGGGTATCTAATAAACTTCAAAGGTCACAAAAAACCTTTTAGCATGCAGGTTGGCAATTACGGCAAATACCCTTTGAGTCAATCTATGGGGGAGGTCCATTTTCAGTAACTGACTTTGATAGCCAGACATAAATTACAATGTAGGTGTCTTCTAGGCAAGAGTGATTATACCTAGGCTTTTGTTGCGTCTAGTCAGAGCATTTTGCCATCTTTAACTGCACGTTGCCATCAGATGGGACAGTAATGATTTCTTAAATTTACGCGAACACTACACATTGAATAAAACTATTATTTACGGATTGTATCGCGTTTTAATTACAACTATAATTTATTTTTATTATCCCGATGTTTCGGGTGCTTTACAGCACCCATGGTCACGGGGAGGGGACTGAGATGTTTGACGTCCCAATGTCATAGCTGAAGTTCGGCGGCCTTTTTCCTATACACACTGATCACACTGTGTATAGAAAAAAGACCCATACCAACCGATATCTAAATGGTGAATCTCACCATCATACTTCACAGTTAGCTACCGTGGGTAAATCTTTGTTTCAGAAAGCACGAGGGATCTGTGACAGAAAACATATGGCCGCCGAACTTCAGCACGTGAAGCAAGTATTGCAAGAAAACAAGATTCGGGTCCCGCGCCTACATCACAGTGAACGAGTGAAGCCGGCCACAGTCGAGCGCGCGTCTGTTGTACTACCGTATGTCAGAGGAGTCACAGAAAATATTGGCTACATCTTGAAGCGAGCGTCCATTAAAATATACTACAAGCCGCCGAAGAAGATTAGTCAATTTTTACCATCAATCAAATGTAACAATCCTCTACAAAATGCAGGTGTGTACAAGCTAGATTGTGAATGTGGTCTCTCTTACATAGGTCAAACAAAAAGATCTATAAAAACCCGCGTGAAGGAACATATAGCTGACGTGAAGCATCGACGCTCCGGGAAGTCTGCAGTCTGCGAACATGTTCAACATCCTCCTCACCATTACATTAGATTTGATAAACCACAAATCCTCTCAAAAGAACACCGATCCAAATTTCAATAGAGAAGATGGATGGGTGCTGCCATCTGCTTGGGATCCTATATTTAACAAAATTAAACCCATACCTAAGCATACCACTGCAAGACTACTATAAGCTCGTTTTGCGTAAATTGGACCAAAAATAAATATTCAAAAAACTGAAGGTAGCCGGACTAACTATGCAATTGGGACGTTAAACATCTCAGGCCCCCCCGTGACCATGGGTGCTGTAAAGCACCCGAAACGTCGGGATAATAAAAATAAATTATAGTTGTAATTAAAACGCGAGAAAAATCCGTAAATATTAGTTTTATTCAAGATGGAACAGTAGTCAAACATATATATAATTCATAGAAAAAAAAACTTCCTGTATGTGTCGTAAAAGCGGCCTATAGGAAGTAGCAAAAACATCTTATGACTTCCGGAAGATGATGGTATAATATTGTTTCCTATTACTGTTACCATTGCAGCCTATTAATGTCCACTGCTAAACATAGGTCTCCCTCACAGATAGCCTCATGGGGGGGGGGGGGGCAAGCGGGTTGCCAAAGGCAGTTTTCTTTAGTCGTTATAAACAAGATGCTGCTGCCCACATCCTTATTTATTTTCCCCTGTCGTCTCTTATACCTACGGGAACGACATGCGGTAGTGGAAATTCTTACACCGGTCATACATGGTCTCAAATCACATTTTTGTTGTACGTCAAGTATCCAGCCTTTCAACAGTAAGCAGTATCAAAAGTGCATGATGTCTCGCACTACGATATCTTATGCCCATGCCAACAGTGGAGATGACGGTAAACCCGCCTTACAACGGACTTAGTTACACTGACCTTTGACGGAGTAAAGCTTTAATATAAAATAGATACAGTTATTATCACATTAGCTTAAAATGAACATAATGACTAAACGCTACGATTGTACAGTTTCGTAAGGAAATTTCAAAATAACAGTCATAACTTTTGTTAGAATTAACAGGTTTTCATTAAAAAAAGATAAAATGTTACTAAGATACGTGTGATATTATTCTTTTGTAAAATAGACGAGATAACATATACATTCATAAGCAAACATACCGGAAGACAATTCTAAAAATAATAGAAATATATTTTTAGTCCATCTCAATCATTTTTTGACAAATTATACAATAAACAGACACCTGAAAATTACATTTATATTATATGTATAGATTACCACTAACCGTTTTCTGTCCATTTCGGATTCAGTGTGAAAGTAGAAGTGCCTTTGTTTAGGTTCAGTTGGCATTACTTCGAAAGCATATTTCTTGCCGCCTGGTGCGCAGGTCTGTATTCTGTAGCCGTGTAAGCAGGCCATACCTGCAAAAAAAAAAACAATTAATTTTCTTACAAGTTTACGTAAATTCGTTAACACTTAACAGTTGATGTTGTATCAAAAAATAACTGATGTAAAAGATTACTATATTTTAGTATATGAATGAAATTATTTTTTGTCTGTGTCCAAAGTTACTTTTAAAAGTTATGACATCGAATGTGCGGTCGCTATTGTTCGCCGAAATCTATTTCATTCTCAGATATCTCCACAAATTTTAGTTTAGGAAGCTATTATGCCTTGATCGTCGTTTATATTACTATAAATTTTGTCATAATATATAATACCAATAATAACAACACTACGGCTCGCACAGGTGCCTGAGATTTGCTACGACGAGCGGGGGCTACTCTTCCTCCGTACCTATAGCTTAACAAAACTAAAGGATACACTTTAGGAGTAGGGCAGACAAGACTACGTGGATTCGGGGCGTGCTGATTTAATTTTAGTACAGGTTCGATCAGATCAGATATCTATAGTCAGGTTGCCTTTGCTCCCGCCACAGGCGCAAAATTCTGTATGCTATCTAGCTTTCACAGTAATATCGTATAATTTTTTTCTCAGAAAGACTAGACCCAGAGCCTAAATTCAGTTAATAAAAAAAATGTATCACTTTTTATACTTTACGTATTTAAGGTTATAATAGTTTTTATTTATTTTTTCGATAACGGTGCGTTACCTTTTAATGTGAGTGTGGTATTATTATAATCGGGGACCAAACCTCTACCAAATAAAACACCTTACTCCCCCAAATTCCTGCCAAAGGATTCTAAATCCAACCCAATTGTGGTTTTGGATGGGGCTTCATCACCAAATGCAGGTCAACATACTGTTTTTGTGTTAAACCACTTCGAAAGTCATAATAAATCATCGCTCTTGAATTTTCTCGAGTCAATTCCATTTTCTCAACGACTACACAAGTTTGACAAAACCTTGTGACATGACCGAGAAACTTTTTTTAAATAAATGGGTGCGTTTGGCAGAAAAAAGCGCTAGCAAGCGCTTACAAGCGCTGAAATAGTTTTCGGCCAGGACACGATTGCTACTTCAGTAGCGCTGACACAATCCGCCATTTTGCTTATATAATTTGTTTGTTTTGAAGTAGAGTTTATAAGTTGTTTTGTGCAATATTAGTTTTAAGTAATATATTGACATGAATAAACATATATATGTTATTAAAAATTCATGATTGGTAAGTTTTTAATATGAATACTTTACAAACATATATTTAAATTAGGTTAGGTTCTCCGGTTAAAACTAACATCGTGTCCCGGAGGAAAATAGCTACTTACGATTTGACAGCGCTTACCGCTTACGATCGCCATTTTGCTTACAAGCGCTTGCTAGCGCTTTTTTCTGCCAAACGCACCCAATTAATGGTATTCGATTTTTAAAACCAAGGAGTTTTCAATTAAAAAGATTTTAATATGACAGGAACAGTGGAAATATTCCATTCCCGATACTTTTAGTGCAGCCTAGTAGGTATTTCTATAAAAAATATACGCTCTATAGAAGAATATCTTTTAGATTATAATTCAATGCTTTAACGTTTGGATTTTGATTCATGAAAAACATTTATTATTCACATAATTAATTGATCTATTTATTTGCTACTATCTTTAAAAGTTAAGTTTCCTTATAAAGTTCTCCCACGTAAGCTCTACGTGAGCAGTCCCATGAACAAAAAAAATATCAATTTTTCATCAAAAATCTGACTGTTTTGCTACTGTTAAGGATATTTTAGTTAGTTTTTTATTTGTTTTATGTTCCTGTTTGTCTTTATATTATTCACTTAGTTACATATCAAAGTTCACATATAAAACGTTATATACACGGTTGTTTTTCAAATAGTAGATATTAGAATTTTTTACTTAAGTTCTAATACATAAAAGTGATATACTGTTATTGCAGTTTTTTAAAAATACGAGTAATTAAGGATTCTACTTTTATTTCTAATTATACCAAACTGAATGTGATTTGTGGGCAACAAAGTTTTTGCCTACCGATCGACCCTTACGAATGCGTGCGCAGTAAAATCAGTTAAAACAATGCATTAGCACGCATTTTGAATTTAAAAGAATAAAAGGACGGAATGTTTGAGTTTTTTTTAATTAATTTTTTTCACAATTTGCCTGTATTACTTATTCTGAACCTTCTATGCAAATGTGGCCGGTTATTGCAAAATAACCCTGTATATTTCGCCAACACGCATTGAGCCAGTGTGGCTGATATTGCTTGCCTTAAACCCTTCAAGTGCCATAAAAATCCCATGCAGTCGCGTGCGCCCGGCAAATCCCGGCACAGAACTTAAAACCATTAAAACTTACATTTAGAGATTACTTCCTTTTAGAAATGAGAGAAGACCTGTGCTTAGCGAATGGGACGTATATAGCCTCAAACTACTATATATAATAAAAATTGTCTATTTTCTTGATAACTGAATAATACAATAATGGAGATCCCATATAAAATACTAATTTTTCGGTTTTAGGTTAGTCCAATTTTATAAATCCACGCAGTAAGTAATCAATTTACCATACTTTGCTATACAAAATTTAAACATAAAATTACATTTTAAGCTTAAGTACATAACTATTTGCTATTTGCTTTATTTCTTCGAGTCAGCAACAGTAACCGCTAATTCGCCTTTTGTTTACGGATTAAATAAGTCCGAGTGACGTTACAATGCAATGCAATGATCGGGTATTTGCTTTATGTTTACCTTGGGATAATCTGTTCATACACTTATTATTTTATTGGAAAATCTGGTGAAGTATAAATCCGTATTCTCATGACCGAAACACGAACGTCTGTGTGAATTAGAAAATAAGAATTTAGATAGAATATTAGTTATAGGTGATATAATTATAGATTAATCCTACTTGGTATGAATGCTCCGCTCCCCGAACTAATGCCTACAATCTTTTCGATGTCCGTATATGTGATGACGTGGGTCTTCTCACACCAACATTTCAGTAGTCCATACATTTTCTGCCGCTACTGCTGTTTGCGGAGCCCGGTTACTTGGTCACCTTTAGGGTTAACTTTACCCCTTTCGAATTCAGCAAACCACCTACAAATTGTTGCGCGTGATGGAGCTGAGTTCCCCTAATGCTGATCGTAACCGCTGTAAACTTAATTGTTCGGTTAAACCAAATTTAAAATCATAATAAATCATAGCGCGCAAATGTTCACGGTTAAGATCCATCGTTTTAAATGAAAAGCGCGGGAAGCGTTGCAGGAAAATTAATAGAACTATGTTTTTTTATATTGAGCTATTGGCTTATGGAGTTCTATTTTTAAATAAATTTTCTTTTTAGAAGCATAACACGGGTGCGTTCCATTTTTAAATTTCGAGCATTTCAACACTTATTGAGTGACCTACGTAGGTACTAGGTACTAAATATAGATATGTTTACATATATGAGTGTTAACATAATATACGCTGTAAGTTTTATATTTACTGAAAAAGAATAATTTGGTTAGTTATCTGAAAATATTTTTTTATTATTATCACTAGTACTAACCGAAAGCACTTTTGCTATTTCCATCATTATAGAAGTACAGACAAGCATCTTTTAAAACGCAGTATCGTTTTGCCCAGGACTTCCATTTTGAGCCCAACTTCATGAGATATCCAAAGCAGTCTGGACGTAGAATGGAAGACGGCGGCAGCTTCATGTTCCTCATCGTAACTTCTAGCCATCCATCGCGCTGAAAATATATTTTTATGAATTCACATTTTTTTATTACTACTAAGGAATGATATGTCATGTGAGTATGGTAAATATGACGGCTAAGCACTCGATGTATATTGTAAACCCCGCTCTATGTAGACCTGGTGTGAAACTGTTTATTGCAATTATTTTACCTACTGATTTACCAGTGAAGGAATACATTCTAAACTAACTTTTGATTAAGATAATTAAATAAATTATTACGTCACATGTAAAGTTCCTAAAAGTCCTAAAAGTGGGTGCCTATGCCTAGCAGTAGGCCGTAAATAGGCTGTAAATTTAACTCAAATAATATGTATGTGTGAAAGGTTTATATGAATGAGATATTCATATAAACCTTTCACACATACATATTATTTGAGTTAAATTTTGTAAATAATAGTAAAGTGATAGCCAATATATGCTTCATTTCTTCTCATTTCTGAGAACAATATGGAGCCAGAAGGAGTCCACTGTGCTCCTAAGGTGTAAATTACGGATTTCACAAGCCATTATCCAATGGGATGAAACCGTTACAGCCCGTATTTGCCATAGTTGCTCCGCTTGGCAAGCTGCTGCCTTTCTCCTGAATGGTTTCCCTCCGTTACCTCTTACGACACCCACGGGATTATATAGGGTAGTGGATAATCTTACACAGCCACTACATTGCGAAATGGCATGTAAAGTCCTCAACAATGCCGAAATTCGGTATACGGTAGTTTCATTCACCTTCACCGTCACTGACCTATTCGCTAATTTTGTTGATATTGTAATGGAAGTCACTTTGTAGTACATTGTTTCATATGATTTATGAGCAGTGCAGAAATAACTCATAAAGAAAAGATTTTGAGCATAGTATAACGTAATGTTTATAAATAAATAAATGAATGACGTAATGTATATAATACAAAACGACTATCATTTTCTTGTCAACAAGCTTAGCGAATAAACCCGCTGATGTATCTCATTTTATACGTGATGTCTAATGCCAGTCTGTAAACGATCAGTTTAACCCCCAGAAGACACAAGTTTGCGCGTTAACCGCTAAAAAGAACCCCTTTGTCGTATCCCCTCAGTTTCAAGGCACTCCCCTTGTTCCCTCAGCCAGTATCGGAATCCTCGGCGTCGACATATCGAGTGACGTGCAGTTTCGTGGTCACTTGGAAGGGAAGGCCAAATTGGCCCCTAAAAAGCTTGGCGTGCTCAGCAGAGCGGGACAGTATTTCGTGCCGGCACACCGCCTGCAACTTTACAAGGCGCAGGTTCGGCCGCACATGGAATACTGTTCCCATCTCTGGGCTGGGGCTCCCCAGTACCAACTTCTTCCACTTGACCGCATCCAGCGCAGAGCGGCTCGAATCGTCGACGACCGAGTGCTTTCCGATCGGCTCGATTCACTGGCGCTGCGAAGAGATGTTGCATCTCTTTGCGTATTTTATCGCATCTATCACGGGGAGTGCTCTGAGGAATTGTTCGGATTAATCCCAGCCGCCAAATTTCGTGAACGCACTACACGTCAAACGTCCCGATACCATCCACACCATCTGGATGCTTGGCGGTCCACCACTGTACGTTTCACAAGGAGTTTTCTTCCACGTACAACCTCTCTGTGGAATAGTTTACCACCGGCGATTTTTCCGGACCGTTACGACCTGGGGACCTTCAAGAAAAGAGCTTACTCCTTTCTAAAGGGCCGGCAACGCACCCGCAATTCTCCTGGTGTTGCGGTTGATCATGGGCGGCGGTAGTCACTTAACATCAGGTGAGCTGCATGCTCGTTTGCCCCTTCTTCTATAAAAAAAAAAAAAGAACGAAATGTATATTCAAGTATGATTTTAGTCGAAACATTTTGAGAGCTTCGACCGCTTAGTGGAACTTTTTTTCTAACTCACACTGTCGAAGTGATTATTATTTTTAACTATAGCTTTAACAGCCTTTCGTAATCTACTGTTTTATATACTGGATGACTTTCTTTACAGTTTGGAAAAAAATAGGGTGTAAGATGTGAACGGAGTAGGAGCTGACACTGATATTATACAAAAAAAAACTTTGAATTAAACCCTTGAAAACTTTTTTTAACAATTACTTTATTGCCGTTCGTAAAATAGGGCGCGCATGATTTGAATTTCGATAGATTTTAATTAATTAATTTATACAATTCAACATTTTTGTTTTTAATTCTTGTAAAATATCAGTGCCATAGCTAGGCTTCTACTCCGTTCACATGTTACACGATATTTTTTTTCCAGATGGTAAAAAAAGTCATCCAGTATATGACCTAAGCCGAACGCGTTAACTGGCAAACATAGCTTAACAGACGTGCCCATAGCCCATACTTATGACGCTGGGTCGGTTAGCGCAGCACCAATACGCTTAATAATTGGTAATACTACTCATTATTATCATACTGTGGGGCTTAGTTTCGGCATTTAAAATAAATACACCACCTTTTGTCAATAGCTAGAGTCGGTTTCGCTATTCTAAATAAATAAGGGTTCTTCGGCACAATCTTAAGGCACAATATACTAGCGAGTAAGCCAGTCCTTGTGCTGTAAGCATAACGCTGGTGTAACGAGAAACGGATATCTTTTTACTGGTAACGGAGCTCTCCATCTTAATATGGAGGTGACAACTCATCTGCATTTTGATTCTGTAGATAGATGTAGGTTCTATGGCCCACAGCATCCACTTGCCACCAGGTGGATTGTTAAGTCGTTAGTTACAATTACTAAAAAGTAATAGTTACATCTGTTTTTATTTTCTTTATAAAATAATATAATAAATTTGTGATGATGTTGTGACCAGGATTAAAAAAGGAATGTTTCGTGACAAAGCAAATCTTTTTTTTTTTTTTATAGAAGAGGGGGCAAACGAGCATGTGGCTCACCTGATGTTAAGTGACTACCGCCGCCCATGATCAACCGCAACACCAGGGGAATTGCAGGTGCGTTGCCGGCCCTTTAGAAAGGAGTAAGCTCTTTTCTTGAAGGTCCCCAGGTCGTATCGGTCCGGAAAAATCGCCGGTGGTAAACTATTCCACAGAGAGGTTGTACGCGGAAGAAAACTCCTTTTGAAACGTACAGTGGTGGACCGCCAAGCATCCAGATGGTGTGGATGGTATCGGGACGTTTGCCGTGTAGTGCGTTCACGAAATTTGGCGGCTGGGATTAATCCAAACAATTCCTCAGAGCACTCCCCGTGATAGATGCGATAAAATACGCAAAGAGATGCAACATCTCTTCGCAGCGCCAGTGAATCGAGCCGATCGGAAAGCACTCGGTCGTCGACGATTCGAGCCGCTCTGCGCTGGATGCGGTCAAGTGGAAGGAGCTGGTACTGGGGAGCGCCAGCCCAGAGATGGGAACAGTATTCCATGAGCGGCCGAACCTGCGCCTTGTAAAGTTGCAGGCGGTGTGCCGGCATGAAATACTGTCCCGCTCTGCTGAGCACGCCAAGCTTTTTAGAGGCCAATTTGGCCTTCCCTTCCAAGTGACCACGAAACTGCACGTCACTCGATATGTCGACGCCGAGGATTCCGATACTGGCTGAGGCAACAAGGGGAGTGCCTTGAAACTGAGGGGATACGACAAAGGGGTTCTTTTTAGCGGTTAACGCGCAAACTTGTGTCTTCTGGGGGTTAAACTGGATTAGATTTAGTCGTCCCCAATCCGAGACTCTGTCCAGCAGAGACTCGACTTCAGACACAAGTTTGTCCCGGCACTCAGAGACGTTTTCCCGAGAAATATTGGCTCGGCCGTTGTAAAGAGCATCACCAGTGCTGTCATCTGCATAGCAATGAATGCTACGGGTTTGCAACATATAATTGATATGCAGAAGAAACAGCGTTGGCGATAGCACGCAGCCCTGTGGAACACCAGCATTAATAGGCTTGCAATCGGAGCTTGCACCGTCTACAACGACCTTGATGCTCCGATCTGCAAGAAAACTGGTGCAATCTATGTTGCAGATGTGAACTGCAGAGTCGGGAAGGGACGCTTTAGACAAAAGTTTATCAAATTGGCGATATACACGGAAATGGACCAGATTAGGAGTATTTATTATATTGAATTATATTGACGAGCATACATAAAGGAGGCGAAAGAGGTGTGTCGTGCCAAACGGAAGTTCATAGTCTCTACGTACCCCTCTGGGTGACAAGCGTGAGTGTTTATGTTTTAATAAATTTATATTTAATGTATGATTTACAACGTACACTATTTTGAATTACGCTCTTTATAAAGAGATTTAAAATATTAGTGGTTAGTGGTTACGCTGTATGAGTGTAGCTGGAAGCGAGAAAATACTATAAGGGAGGGATATAATTATAATCAAAATCTGTGAGTCCTTTTTGTGTTTTGTGTGTTATAGTACAAAGCATGGAGTATAGAAAGGTTCAAGTTCAAGTAAACAGCGCCATACAGCGAGTTAAACAGGAACTTTTACAAAAACACATCTTTGACAAACCTGGTTACTGGCATCGATAGCGTGAGCGAGTACGGCGCGCCATCTAGCGGCTGCTTCAGCAGTGTCTGCAGCAAGTTGCAGCCTTGTTCCGCCACCGCGCTGTAGTCGAAATCCATGTGGTCGCCCAGCGTCCTCTTCCGTAAGTTGATAGTTTACAAGCATCAAAGCTCCTACTGGGTGAATACTCTAAAAAATAACATCATTGATTGACATTAATAACAAAATGCAACTTCATTACGAAATTTGTGAAAAATATGCAAATATATTTCTAAAATTTACACGAACACTACACATTGAATTTGACCATAGGTGCTGTAAAGCACCCGAAACGTCGGTAAATTTAAATAAGTTAACTAAACGCGATAAAATCCGTGTAGGTATATAGTTTTATTCAAAAATATACAAAATTATCTAGATAAATGAAAAAATTGACTTTCAATAAGTATTGTTTATAATCTATATTGAATAAAAAAGTTTCTGTTTCAGTTTCTGATAAATTAAATATGATACCTATAAAAGTCTAAAACTTTTTACTAGCTTATTCTATTATTTTTCTGAGACTTTCCTTAGTTTGTCGCATTATTTTTATACAAAACAATGAATTTTTGAAAACGTTTCATTTGTAAAGCTTTCGCGAGTATTATACAATATACCTACATTGTTTAAAATTAGTTTTACGGATTTCATTACGTTTAAATTAAGTATTCAGTTTAGAGCCCTTTGCAACATCGTCAACACAGTCATGAGATAACCGAGGTGTTAAATTCAAAATGTCGATGTCATATTTAAGTGGGCTACATTCGCTTTCAATTATTAACTGATCTACACAGCATAAACCTGCGCTCCTAAGTATCCCTTGAATGAAAATAATTTAAAATTAAAATCCATTAAATTAGTTTTATTCAATATTTCTCTTGTAAGTATTTTAGATACTTCCATAACTTATATATAGGTGTCTTTTTAACTTTTTTCCAAGAGTGCCATTCCAGATCCAAAATTTAAATTAAATACTTAGTAATGAGATGCTATTGTATTTAATTATCGTAAATAAGACACTTACCGAATCTGTTTTATAATAATATAGACAATTATCCCTCTTCAAAACGAACCAGCGACGCGTCCAGCGTGGTGGATGATGAGGTCGCAGAGGCGCTGCACGCCATAGATATCCGGAGTATAACGCAGCTGGTCCTCCTTCATGAGCCAATGATGCCACAACATCACAAGTTCTAGCGACCTGTATTAAAATTTATACAAATTGATACTCTGTCCATATTATGACCAACAAAAGTATTAGGTACTACTTCGTTAATGTTCTTAACTACAACAGAAAATATTAAGTGATATGGAAATAATGTTATAGTTTTTAATTTTTATAGCCTTTTAGTCATTACTTAGTAATTTCAAGATAAAAAAAGGCTGGTTTTAGCCCTCTTCATAATAGGAGCAGGTTCGAATTCGACTGTATGTCCGTATATTTTTTGTATATAATATGTTACACGCAAAGAGATTTAAATATATATATATATATATATATATATATATATATATATATATATATATATATATATATATATATATATATATCATTTAAAACTTAAATACCTTCAGTTACATAATATTTTCATCAATTGTGTATTAATCAGGGGGGGTTCCATATAGTACAATTGAAACAAAAATTGTGAAAAAATATGAGTTATTTAAGGTATTTAATAAGCTTTTGAAGTATTTAATATATTCTGTCTTGGCGCTTATTTCTGAAACTATGAATTAGAAAATATTTTCTTTCTTTTAGTGTCTTGAAGTCCGTTTTACTTTTGATTACAGGTACATATTTGTGTAGATCGTGCGAAAAGTAAATTATTTGACGTTGAATGTAGTCCATGTTAGATATCCGATAACATGTTTAATACGTGATAGAGCTTTGCTGAAATTATATTAGTAGTATAGTTGTAGCACGAATGGGTCGGCTCGACCGGGGAAGGACCACGCTCTCACAGAAACCCAGCGTAAAATAGTAGCCTAATGCTGCTGTATTATGTATGTATGGTGAGTGTAGAGACCCGGAGACTGTTTTTACTAGAAATGAGGCATTCCATCTTAGTCCTCACGGGTGACAACGCATCTGCATTTTGATTCGTAATCGAGGATACATGTAGATGTCTATGGGCCACAGCAACCACTTAGATGGGCTGTTTGCTCGTTTGTCACCCTATCCTATAAAAAAAAATGTTATCCTTAGTACCGTTTTCGTGACCTCGTGCTGTTTGCAGTTAAAGTTTGCGTTAGAAACGCCGGGAATTGAACAAAAGTAAAAATACTACACAACCACAGAGATAAAATAAAGTAAATGATAAAATATTTTACAAATATAGGTACTTACTTCTAGCTCCAAAATTTCTGATCCCGAGTGAGCTATTTTCACCACTTCGGAATGTGTCTTGTCCAAAACATTGATCCCTGTAATGTAATGTAATGATTTTAAATCATAATTAGCTATATTATATTTAACACACTTTTATAACCTTTAAATTTCCGATATTCATTTATGAATGAAATGTAATTTTAACCTCATTTTCACCCACATCCGGACGTCTGAATAATTTAAAATTTTGTAGACGTCATAAAAACCGATGACAATACCATAATTTCATGTTCTATGACCCAGTATTCTCATTAGGTTTATCACAGCTCATGATTAATGCGTAAGTTTTAATTTTTTTTAAACTCTTATACTCTTATATCTTATATTATTAGTTTTAATATCTATGTTCTCGATTTTTGAAAATTAAACAAAATAGCTACGATGTAAAATAATATATCTATGAAAACCACGGTTATCCACTTTTTTTAAAAAGCCGATTAGTTGCAAGTTCTTAGTAACTGATCGCGCTGGAGTAGGTACCTAGGTAGTTAATGAAGATTCCGATTGAGAAATTCTCAGAAACAGGTACGGTGTTGATATTTTTATTCGGATTCACGAGTTATAATTGTTTTTAGTGTGTGTTTTATTTGTTGTAATCCTATAAAACCCTAGAAAATCTTAGAAATCTCAGCATAAACGAGTACAATAAACAACAACCTGTTTTCTATCAAAACATGCAATTTTTTAGACATTTTGTTATCCATTTATAATTCGAATATACTAAAAAATTATTGGCTTATTCAGCTAATCTTATAATAAAAGAATGATGCGTGGTATAGCCATGCTGCAGTTATATCATAGCACGCTCGAATGGGTCGGCTTGTCCGGGGAAGTAGGTAGATACCACGCCCTCACATAATAGCAGCGTAAAAAAGTAGCTTAACTGTAAAGTCGAGCAAGTAGTGTATCAGACATAAACTTTCGCTACTGTGTTTCGCATTGGTGAGTGTAGGTAACTTTAGACCCTTTTTACGGGAGACGAGGCATTCCATTCCATTTTATGTTGACTATCTATGCACAAACGATTCAGCAAATCGGCCTATGTTACTGACCTCTATATATACAAGTGTATATATAGAGGTCAGTGGCTTATGTGCGCTTTTTCTACTTGCGAAAAAAGTTAACAGCCAGGCTATTTTGATAGCATACCGTTTTGCGATATAGCATTATTTTCTGGGGGCAGTTTTCTGATAGGGAGCTTGTATTTAAGATGCAAAAACGTATATGTAAGACCAATGTGTAGTCTCATAATAACGAATAATTATTTTCTTATTTTAAATCTTTAAAAATCCTAATGGATTATAAATATATTAATATCGGAGTTTTACATATAAGTTTATTTATGGATACATCGAAAATCCGATATTTTAAAAATTATCAACAGTTTTAGTTTGAACTGATCAGTTGGAATGATCAGTTTAACTGACCGTGTGTGGCCACCATAACATTGCCATCATTGTATATACTGAAAACTGATATGTTTGTAAAAAATTATCAATTTATTTTTTAAAATTATCTGCTATTAGAAGTTTAGTAATCCTATAGGCACCCACTACGTAAATAAGTTATGTCAAATTATATGTAAAACATCACTTAAGCAAAAAATTCTTATTTGGTATTGCCCCACGTATTTATTAAAAATTAATAAACTACCTGATTAAATAAAAATATGTGTGTATAATAGGTGCTAAATGAGTTATTAATAGATAAATGTTATTATAAAATTGATGAGTTTTTGAATTTTGATTCATTATATGGACTTTCATTATTTTTATTAAAGTCATTAATTTAATTTTATTAATTTAGAATTTTAATTATTATTTCAATTTCATTAATTCTTATTCTATTTTATATTATTGCATGATTTTCAAAAGAACACACAATTATACTTGTATGTCTTAAGGCAAAACAAAGCGCACTTATAATTGTAACCTTCGCAAGACCTTAAATGTTTACACCTACCTTTGTTTGTCAAATAAACTATTCTTATTCTGAATCTGATCCATCTAAGTCCTCACGGAAGACAACGCATCTGCATTTTGATTCGTAATCGAGGATACATGTAGATGTCTATGTACCACAGCAACAACTTACCATCAGGTGGACTGTGTACTCTTTTGTCACCCTAATCCTATAAAAAATGATCAATATACGATACGTGAATCTGTGCACTGCCTAGACAATCTGTCCATTTTTTATATGAATGATGATGTGGGTGATGAAACTTGAATATAAATACGTAATAAAATATTTTACCATTTACAGCGATGACTATGTCCCCAACTTCCAACCCTGAAGTCTCAGCCGGTGTATCAGGTTCAATTGCAGACACAACAACAGGTTTGCTTCCGTGAATTCTGAATCCAAACTCTTCATTTCCACGTCTCACCACGACTGTTTTGTCACTTTCTGTGTTTTAAAAAATATCATGATTTTACAAAAATGTATCCAAAATCATTTGACAAAACAAAATGAAAAGCAAAATATTTGTAGAGTTGTTGCTGGTATTAAATCTTTATTACAAATAATTTTAAATATTCATAATGGGTGTGATTAGCAGAAAAAAGCGCTAGGAAGCGCTTGTAAGCAAAATGGGGAAACTATACAGTTTTCGGCCAAGGACACGTTTGCCTAACTTCAGTAGCGCTGACACAATCCGCCATTTTGCTTATTTATTTTGTTTTTTTGAAGTACAGTATGTAAGTCGTTTTGTGCAATTAATTTTAAGTAATATAATGACATGAATAAATATATTATACATGTTATTAAAATCCATGATTGGTTTTTGATATAAATACTTTACAAACATATATTGAAATTAGGTCAGGTTCCCCGGTTAAAGCTAACTTAGTGTCCTAGAGAAAAATAGCTATTTACCATTTGACAACGATTCCGCTTACGATCGCCATTTTGCTTAGAAGCGCTTCCTAGCGCTTTTTTTGCCAAACACAGCCAATAACTATCGTGTTGAAAAGTTGAGGCTTAGTCATGTGGACAAAAATTTTTACAACACAGATTATGCAAGTAGGCTGTGTAAAATTTTCCCATATATCAAATATTTTTTCGAATGAAAACCTCACCTACTCGTAGTACAAGGATCTGATTGAACAAACAAGGCTCTGGCGATTGTTTGTTAGTAAGTAAAGTACATTGAGAATACGTTTCACTGCTAGGCCTAGCCTGCTCTCATTCTTGAGTGGATTTTTAGTTTAAGATATATTACACCATCTTGTAAAGCATGCTGGCAGATGTTCTTGAAATATCTTTTCCTGGGACATGCAGGTTTACTCACGGTTTACAGGTGATCAGGCGGTAAAGCGGTACCAAAAATTGCAATTCCCAAGTTATCGATTATATTCTTATCTCTTGAGCTCACTTGGCTCTTGCGGATAGCAAATTTCGCAGAGTTTTTAAGGGAAACAAAGTAACCAATGTGTAATATATTTGCTCGATACCAACTAGCCAACTATGTAACAAATATGAGCAAATATTACAAGAAATGCGTGAATGCTGGCACAGTTTTGTAAAGGCAGTGTTGTATGTCCAGCAATGCACTTCTAAGTCAGAAGAAAATTGTAAATAAAATTAACTTTCACTGAAATCACTGGTCATCCGCATTTAGCACGCTTACTACATATTTACTTCTGTGGCGAAAGTTATTACATTGTAATTAATAAAAAACAAACCACACTATCTCGTAAAGCTTTTGTATAAAACTATATAGTCTGTGCAACGATCAACACGTTTCTAATTATACACTCAAAACAATCAATATTAAGACCATCTAATATGATGTTTAGGTACGGTATTCAAATTCACGGCACTTAGCGATACAATTCAATAAGCTAAGCTAAGCCACTGCGCCACGGAGCAGTTAAATTTTTTTTTATAAGACAATAATAAGAAGGAATTGAAGAAAATATGTTCTCAACATAATCTAAAAATAATAATACATTTTATTTGATGCAAATAGTACAAGGTGTCATTCTGGAATCTCTGTAAGGAACAAGTTTAAACAGCAATGTAGGGACATGTTCTTGATTTGTGTTTTATCGAGCAAATTTTGATGTATTACGTTTTATTTCACATGATTTTTGAGATTTAAAAGGGTTTAAGACAGTCAAAAAGTACTGCAACGTCGATTTAAATTGACAGCAAGCAGATTTTGCTACAACATTCTTTGTAACCACACTTAATGTATTTTTAGAACGTCCCTACTCAGGTCTTAACTGACCTAATAATATTTGTTAATTTATCTCAACACCCGGCAGTGGATTTCAAGAATACAAATGACCATGACATAAATACAATCGCTCTGAAGCCCAGAACGGATATAACATAATATTTGGTATCATAATAACTTTCGCCAAATGTATTGGCAATTTTCCAGATGTTTTCATTCAAGAAAACAACAATACAAATTAAAAAAAAAACAGTACTTATAAATAACAATAATGATAACTCATTTCATTAAAATAAACTCACTCTTATAAATAAAATACTGCTGGGTCACTAACTTGAATAGAAGAAAATTTCAAAAATAGTTGAATATTTTCTTTATTACTCTTTAAATTTTTGTTTATAAAACATAACTAGACTAATTTTAAAAAACAACTTCATCCACAGTAATTCTCGAGTCCACTGCTGTATATAGGCTGAAGTAGAATTCAGAGCTTTATATTCGTAGTCGCTTTACTTAATTAATTAAAACATTTACTAGAGATAGGTAAAAATTGCTGAAAATCATAACTTACATATCAATGAATATTTGTTCTTTTGCTTTAAGTATTAATTTTAAATAAAGTGTTAGAATAAGTCCTTATTGATTTTTGTTGAGGATCTACCCATATCTCTCAAAACTATAATTAACTATTGTAGTATGACAGTGAACGCCATTTTGGCATTAAGTTCACATTTGTAACAATTATTTTCAATGTAATAAAGATTTTTCCATCTATTCATCTGTCTTTTAATATTATGTATTGATCATAAAAACAATGTTGTTGAAATTTATATTGAGCTAGGAATACGTAATAAGGTACTTGCTTGAAGCCCATTCTAAAGAATTTTTATTACAAATTAATAATAGATCATTTTAATCACTTTTTTGTATTTCGTAATAATTTATTTATTTAGATCATTTTCTGGATGATCCCTTGGATGTTAAGGACATGGCAGATATATTATATTAAGACCGTATTTCTGTAAAAATATGCATAAAATATTCAACCGTCAATCATCGCAAAGTATAAGTAGGTATTTTTCTTTTGATGATATCTCGTTTAGAGACAGAAACACGTAGCGTATTATCGATGGTATAATATGGTATCAATGAGAAATATACACCTATTTTTCATTGTAGTGGTGTTGGGATTACTAGTGACTGGTACAGTGCACGCAATTAAATTATAGCGGAAGGTGGAGGTGACTTTAAAGTAGGTAAGTAAAGTAGGTAGGTAAGACACATAGTTTTATTTTACTACTCGGATCTTAGCTAAATAATTTTATTGTTAAATATATTTTGTAATTATAACGGATATATATAGCAAAATAATTATCTTAAAAAGGCTTATATGCCATTCTGAATATTTTCTTTAACCATTTAACGATTTTAACAATCAGTAATTTATTATCTATATTCATATTTCATCTGACTTTAACAATCTATAATTTTGAACATCTGGAGGGGACAGCAATTATAAAGTATTTTTTTTAATAAAATAGTAAATATATTTATTTATTAACTTGACCCGCCCCGGTTTCACCTAGGTGGGATTTATTTAAATGAGGCGTCATTTAGGATATCAAAATAATTTCTATTGACCATTTATTTTATTAATTTTTCCATTTCGCAAAAAAAGTATCTTCAAGTTTTTATAAACTAACTAACTATAAAAGAAGCTAAGAACACTTTGATTGTAAGATTTCACCACAATCGGTTCGAGCATAACGATTATCAGCACGGACAGACACACAACATTTTTACAAATAGTTAATTCATGTCTTAACGCCATGGAATTAAGCGTCTGAGCTCGATATAAAGTTTTTTTTTTTTTTTTTGGATATTACAGAGAGATTTCATATGTATAAGTATTTCATAAGTTATTTTAATTTGTTATTTACAAAAATAGGTGTCTCTAGAATGAGGTATTTTCATTTAATGTTCAAGCTTCTGCGATTTACCGTCCAAGATAACACCATACTATTACCATATACGTATTATATATGTGTATAGTATATATATAAATATATTATTTTGATTATATACTTTAATTTCAAACATATTATATGCTACATATTATATTCAATGTGCTTTTTAGTGTTATTTACAATTGAGAAACCTTATATTCGATCTTCACATGCAAGGCTCACTTTCTGTTTAGATAATAATCGAATTGTAATAAAACAGGAGGGGGAGCCACTAGTTTGGACACACCATCTAGTTTGGGCGCCTGTCTCCCACAGCAACTAAAATGCGTAAACTATTTTTGAAAGAAATGTAACTACGTAAAATGTAGGAGAAATAAATTATTATATTATTGTTATTAGCATACCATTAGCTGAAGTATTTTGTTTGTGAGACATTAAGGTTTTCTTACGATTTTTTCCATCTCCGCTGATCACCTAGTACACAATACTTAAAATTGGAATTAACAATTTTGGTGGTGCCGGCGGAGATCGAACCTTGGAACCCCTGAGTTACCATGGCTTCAAATACAGCTTGAAATAAATAAAAAAGCCATTTTTTATAGAATAAGGTTGACAAACGAGCACACAGTCCTCCTGGTGTTAAGTGGATTACATTTATCTTCAACTAAAAATCAAAATGCAGAAGCGTTGTCAGCCCTGAGGGCAGAGATGGATTGCATCGTTTCCAGTAAAAAGGGTCTCCAGTTTTCTACACTCACCATACGAAACACAGCAGCATTAAGCTGCTATCCTATCCATCCATCCATTGCAGCCTATAAACTTCGACTACTGAACATAGGCCTTCACTATAGATTGCCTCACAGTGACTGCAAGTGGATGGATATTGCCATAGTCACCACGATTGGCAAGCAAGTTCACTTCCTCTGATTTTTATTATTTTGAGTTATTATCAAGGAAGATGCTACTGCCCCTCTTTGTTCCAGTTTCCCTCCCTTATGCAATCACTGATCGGAATCACCCAAGCGATTAATCACCCAAGGGGTGAAGAAGGTACTTACACCGCCGCGATATATTAAAAATAGCCAATATATATTAATTTGGTTATAAACATTTTAGTAATTTCATCATATTATATAAATTATTATGTTAAAACCAGTGCGTTTTAACAGATAGTTCTTCATTGCCAGCCGCATGAGGACACTCAATGTCACTCAGCGTTCGATGGAAATAGTTACGCTCGGAACCCGCAGGAGAACAAGAGTAACTGACACTTCACGTTCTTATAAGAAGAATACATTGTGTAAGTATTTCATAAAAACGTTGAAAGTACGTGTATTATTTAAATGGTAATAGATTTTAAAAGTTGCTTGAAATTAAGCAATGAAATAAATATAACAAATAAATTAATAATTCGTCTATAATAACGATGAACAAGAATTAAAGAATTACCTATTTGTTCTGTTGTATTGGCTTTAAGATAAATATATTTTGAATAAATTTTGTGTTTTAACATAGCGGAATTACTAAACATACTTGTACTAGACCTAAAAGACCTAGAGATATGTAGCAAGGGTCAGCATCTACAGTAAAATGTCCCTGGAAGTGCATTCGGCAAATACAGCTAGGGAAAAGCCGTACGAGGTATACCAAGCACACTTTTAAATTTGCTATTAATGATAGCGAAACGAATGTGAAAATAAAAAAAAATAATTTAATAGAGTTGAGTTAAATCATGGCTTATTAAACTCTAGGCTCTAGCACGTATATATTAAAAATTTCAAATTGTTTTAATTGAAATTTAAAACAGTTTGAAATTTTTAATTTATACGTGCCAGAGCCACGCTGCTGCTGTGTTTCGTATGGTGAGCGTAAAGAACCGGAGACCCTTTTTACTAGAATCGAGACATTCCATCTTAGTCCTCAGGGGTGATAACGCATTTGCATTTTAATTCTTAATTGAAGATAAATGTGGATGTCTATGGGCCACAGCATCCACTTACTATCAGGTGGACTATGTGCTCGTTTGTCACCGAATGCTATAAAAAAAACTTGAGATCTTACTTCTTCCATATAACATTGTTATCTGTCCCATCAAGAAAGGATTAGTGGAGAAAAGCAGATTCACTTTTTCCCACCAGTTTTTGGATATTAATGATTTGATTGAATTTATGAAAATATCAATATCAAGCCTATATATAAACTATAACTATTATGTTAAGCATATTCTTCCGCTTCTTCATCATCGGCCCGTAAATGTCTACAGCTGGGCATGAATCTCTCTCGTTCCAGGAAAGTTTTGCACATCACGTTTGGCAGGAGAATTAACCAGACGTCTGATATCTTTAACGCGGTTCTCCATCGCCAGTCTGGGTATTTGAGTATATTACACCTAGCATACAAAGATATTAATTCGCTATCTATCGTAAACTATAACATATTTCTAGAATTTCCAATAGTCACCACTTATGAGACCTTCGAGACGAAATGGGGTGATGGATTTACTTACACTGCCACCATATGGTATATTAGCATACAATAGCTCTAATAAACTACTTATGTATTAAAGTATATTCCAAATTTTACCACAAGGATCTGCCGCAACGAGTCTATTAACTTGTGATTGTCGACACCATAATACCAGCATCAATTTAAAAACTTCCTCCAATTTCTGCCGTAAGCTGCCGCTGGAACTACTAAGCACATCTCTAACTAAAATAAAAATAAAAACTACAATCAGAGAAGGTAAAGTAATGATAAAAAGATTCCAATCTAAATAAGAATTGTACTGATTATTTCGGTAGAAAAATTTACGATACACTTACATGAATGCTTCATTTTGGTGAAAAAATATCCGAATTAAAGATCTTGACCCTGATTTGTCACTTTTGTACTTTACGCGCATGCACCGTTACAAGGGTGACGTCATTCAACAATTTCGTGATGTCAAATCGATAGAAAATAAAGAAAATACAGAATCCAACGTATAGATATCGTCTAGTCGCAGTCGCGTGCCTGCATCAACTGAGAGCTGACGTTCAAGAGCTTATAGAATTAAATTTAGTTCGCTTGAGTTCGGTCAGTAATAGCAGAGAATCAATTTGCTCACCTATAGATTTTCTCTGTATCTAAATATACTGAAATGAATCAGTCTTACAAAAATTACGCTTAAACGAAAGTCTTTTTGTCAAGGTCTGGTATAATGTTTGATTTTAGCCTTTTTTATATATTCTTCCTATAATATTATTTTATCCCTGATATAAAATTATAAATGGCGCGATATCGAATAATTAAATAGTTGTCGAAAAATTTTACAGCCTATACACAAAAAAAAAATCGAAAGAATTTCGTGGAGAGTTCTAAAATAATTGATGCTGCTATTAAAGTGGTGAGAACGCCGAAAATAGTTTCGTACGTCACTGTTCAAAAGTAACACGTTAGTTCGTGCATTACGTTAACGAGTGTGACGCAACTGTTAGCTACCGATGAATAAATTCAATTATGTAGATGGTTATTAATTTCAGAATGTACTATCGCACATCTTTGAAACTACATATATTAAACAATCATTATAGTCTATCAAATCCCACGGCTGAACATAGGGCTCCTCCATATTTCATACACATAGGGGGGATAGTTGTCAAACTTGTCTGGTGGGCAACCGTAGTTATCTAATTATTTTTTATTATTTTGAGATGTTATCAAGAAGGTGGTTAAAGATGGGTTGCTAACCATATTCTGATTAATTTCCCTCTGTCGACACTCATGGAATGACATTGTTCAGCGGGATCTCATTCGCCGCCTATAAACGCAATTATACATTTTGATCAAAATATAATAGGTATTTCTGATAGAATTTTTTCTTTCTAGGAGTGCTGCTTTTAGAAACAAAATACATAAAAATAGTAAATACATCGATACATACAATACATACTTACATAGTCATACTTACCAAAAGTATTGTCAGCTTGCCTTCTATTCAGCTCGATACAAGCTCGTCGATGTACAAGCCTATGTGTCAATGCGACGTATCTCTTGTTGAATTCAACTTCTGATTCGGTAGGATCATCATGAGTAGAGTCTGCTATATCAATTAAATCTGTAAAATATTGTATAGTAATAATAAGTGAGAAGAGTAAATTTAATCGTTCTTTTTATTTTTAAACTTTGTGGTGTTATTGAATTTGGTACGACTTACATTATATACAATATTGTTAGTGATATATTTATCTTTAAATATTTTGACTTTTGACATTACGTGTTTTTTGAGAGCTAATGAAATAGAAAAAAATACCTGGTGGAATTCTAGTCCAATGGTCATCATTTTCGGATAGTAAAATCCAGTTACCGCACCACCACGGTGCTGCATATACTCCCCGTTCTTCGCGTCCATTTTCAGCACCTTCAGAGCTTCCGGAACATTCTTCGTGCTCTGTGATTTATTGTTTTCAATATATTAAACAACATAAACAGATAATTTGAATATCTGTCACGAAGAAAAGTTTTTTCACCAGTTCGTGAACAGCTCTTCTTTTTCTCATCTTTTGTCATACAAGGTAGGGTTTCCCAAAATTGACGCTCCTGGCAATCGCAATACAAGAAGTCCCGCAACCAATTCTCTTCTCCTGTCACAGGTCTTGGTATTTTTAAATAGTATAAGAGACAATTATACTAAAAAGAATTGAAGGAGAAAGATCTCCCAGGTATTTTCCTTAATCAACTTTTGCGAAACGAATGGGACAACGATATGTATGATTAGCATATATACATTATATATTTAATTTCGCTAATAAATGAATGTCCAGTTCCAAATTAATAGTTCATTAGAGTTGTTTTAAAATAAATTGCAGTGTCCATAAGTTATTCATTGAATTAAAAGAAGAGATTTATTTACTTTAAAAATAATTATTAAGAAGACAATTTTAAAAGTTTAAGTTATAAAGTACGCAGGAAATATTACAATGCCATAAGTCATTTATCCAACGCTTATGCGACAAGATTAGCGGAGTTAGTCAAGTTGACTTCTACAATCGTTAACGCTCATAGAAACTTATAAAAATGAATGGAATCACCGTTAAGTCACGTGACAGTTACGTCATCAGATACGACATTTAATTCCATAGAATACTATAATTACATACATTATAGAACGGGGGAGTGGGCGGAGAAAATGTACACGTATAAATGTCAACACGAGATGTATTTTGACGTTACAATCGTTTCCAAATTTCCCGTGCAAATTATTTAGAAAATGCCAAATTACACGCTATTTACAAATCAATATGTATTAAAATATGTCTGTCAACACAGCAAATCGGGTTGGTAGTAGTGATAATACTACGTAGTTGCTTGTATGTGTGCTCCCGGCGACGCATATCCTCGTACAAAATAAGTTTGACAGACATTCTATTGCGTATTATAGTATTCTATGTTTGATTCTATAGCTTCCGAACAGCGATTAGTTTTTTGAATTACGATCCTTGCACGATCACAGTTCGGGCATTCGTTTTCGTTGCGTTAATGAGTGTAACGCAACTGTTAGCAAAGTACAGGAGAATAAATTCAATTAGATATTAAATTCAGAATATAATAAATTTTCACACATAATTATAACTACATATAATATAAAACATTAATTCTCTTATTCATTAAAGCCTATTATTATGATCCTTGAACCTACACGACAGGAGGTAAGAAGGATTAGACGTAAGACCAACGGCTTTACGTGCTTTCCAAAGCACGAGAGTTAAACAAACAAGTCACTTCTGAGGACTATGATGGAATTCCTTACATTATGTAATTATACTGGGTTACTTCTTTTCTCTGGGTTTCGTTCGATATAATATTGATAATAGTTTTGAGCAAATTTAAAAGCAAATTAAAAAGTCATCTACTTACCGTCTGGGTCAACACTCGCATTGGATCCCCCTAGCTTATCAAGACTGTTACCAGCTGAACGGGCAATACGCGTATCTTGAGTTTTTTCTGTGGCATATTCTTCTTTGCCCCTTTCTTCAGACTAAGAGTAGAAAAATATGGATCAATCAAACGTTCAACTGGTTTTTAATATTTGAAATATTATAACATTAATTAATAAACATAGTTAAAACAATATCTGTTGCCAATTACTCACTAACATATTCAAGGCATATGGGCCATTAAATATTGCATATACAAGATCGATACAATGGAGCTTAAGACAAAAAGCTGTGCCAACCGTCTTACTTGACTAGCATGCTATAAAAAGTGGCTAACGGGATATTATTTTCATACCCATTTTTTCGCTAAATATGGTTCAAGTACACAGTTTCAGTTTATTAAGTACCCTCCTCGGCATTACAGGCGTGAAACTATTTTTGTATGTAAGAGCAGTAATAATAACTAAAGTTTAATACCCACTAACATAATTTTGTATTCTCCTACATGTTTAGATAGTCCCTTAATTTTAAAATAACATTAAGGTTAACAATAAAAATCAGAATTAAATAATAAAAATTCAAATACCAAAAAAATTACCTGTAATTTTTAAATTGTTCTATTAATTAAGTAGGCCTTTTAGGATTTATATTTCTGACAATAATATCGTTTTAGTTTGTGGCCGTTGAAGGAAAATCCGGGCTGCGTTTTGATTCGGAATTTTTGATAGCGTGATTTTGGTTTCGGTGTGTTTCGCTTGCGGCGCGACGACAGCGACGCCACATCACCCCCCTTGCTCAGACCGGAGATCGATAGTGCAGCCTCGTTGCCGACGAATGTGCAAGTGCCAGGAGATGGCCTTGTTGTCTGCGGTGAGTCGAGAAGAAGGCAAGTAATCTGCGAGAGTGACGTGAAGCAGAGTCGAGCAGTAAGGCTCAGAGCCGTGCCGAACATTGTAGCGCAGAGTAGCTTGAAGGAACAGGAAGCATTATTATCTCGTGAAGCTAGATGGCTTGCAGGATATGAAGACTGCAGACGATATCTGCTCGGGTGCGAATGGGTGGGGTATTCTATGATGATGAAGCTTGTAGTTTCCGAAGGTTGTTGGTTGCGTGTTCAGATCGGGTCGGGTGGTTACCACTGTGGCCGTGAAAGGAAAAGGGAGATCTCCCGCCGGGCAAGGTGTTCTGCCCGGGGAGCGGCCAACGCTCCATGCGATAGTTTGGATATGTTCTATATATACTGTTACGAGCTTGAGGTTCGTGACAATAAAAATTGCCGATGGAAATACCTAAATTAACACTTTAATTTTCTTTACACTAGTTAAAGTTAAAGTTAAGTTGGGGGGTTCCCTTCTTCGAATGTTTCTTCCATCTACACAATTAAAACTTAAAACACTAAAAATTAATCACACTGATTCACTTTATTCCGCTCCGACGCTTCGCTTGTCTCGCCAAATTCAATACTTCCCCGATCGCACCTTGCAGCGCCTATAAATACACGTTAGAACCGAATCATCCAGAACATTCAAGTAAATATGCGCACCAATTGACAAAGCGCCGAAAGTTCGAGAGTCAGCTTCCGGAAGCTTAGTTCTTCGTTTCGACAACAGATGGCGCTGTCGGTTGAAAGATTAGTGATGTCATTTTCTGGAAAGCTCTCCCCTCGCTCCGTTACCCGACACTAGATGGCGCTAGTGTCAGATGTCAACTTAGCCGCGTAACACTGCCCCCTCCTAAGACATGCCCGTCCCGAGCATTATCGGCCCCATAATAACGCGCCAGGCAATGCACATGGACGATCTTAGGAGTCCCCCTTGCGCCCTTTTGTATCCGATAGGTTACATCGTTGATCCTGGTCACAATCCGGTACGGGCGGTCCCATTTAGCTTGAAGCTTAGGAGATTTCCCTTTGCTGCGGACCGGATTGTGCAACCACACGAGTGAACCTTCGTCGAACCCTTTGTTGTTCATTTTGCGATCATACCGGGTTTTCATCTTTTCAGACATTTGCTGGCCCGATTGTCTGACGTGCTCATAAATGTCATTCATTTTGTTCCGCAAGTCATTTGCATAATCGGTTATGCTGCGTGGCGCATCAGGTGGGAGGTGGTCTCTTCCAAAGTTTGCGAAAGCTGGTGTCACTGATGTACTTTCGTGAACAGCGCTTCGATATGACAGCAAAAACGGTTGTATGTGCTTATCCCAATCTCGTTGCCGGTTGTCTACAACTTTTGCTAGGTACCTCTCCAATGTCTGATTAAATCGTTCTACCGTTCCATCAGATTGCGGGTGATAAGAAGTCGTTCTTGTTTTATGAGTACGCATAACTCGGCAAGTTTCCTGGAATATTTGAGACTCAAAATTCCTTCCTTGATCGCTGTGAATCTCTAAAGGTACTCCGAAACGACAGAAGACTTCATGAACTAGTTTATCTGCAACTGTTGAAGCTTCTTGATTTGGAATGGCGAAGACTTCTGGCCACTTAGTGAAGTAATATATCACCATCATGAAATACTTGTTACCGCTTTCACTCTCCGGAAAACGGCCCCGCCACGTCAATGGCTATTCTCTCCCATGGTGCACTAACGTTGTACAACTTCAATGCACCTCTACTACGAGTTTGAGGTCCCTTTACAGCCGCACAACTTGTACATTTGCAACACCAGTCCTCGACATCGTTTCGACAGTGGACCCAATAAAACCGTTCTCGGATCTTCAGTAGAGTTCGTTTAACTCCCAGATGGCCTCCTGAACAATCATTATGGTGCAGCTGTAGAACATTCGGTACTTTAGCTTTAGGGACAACCATTTGCAAATGACAGCTGTCTCCCCGAACATTTTCCCATTTAGGACACAGAACTCCATCCTGAAGGAGCAAGCTGTCCCACCGGACCCAATAGCTTTTAGTGGTCGAACTCATCGCTGAGACGTCGCTCCACTTGGGCTTGGGAGCACTGGCCTTCATCATTGCAGAATCGGCTTGATGTCCGGATCTTCCTGCTGTGCACGTTGTAAGCTGTCCTTCCACTCGTTGCTGAGGTGGTCTGCCCTGAGCATCCTCACGGATACCACTTCCTTACTCTCTTGCCTAGTACAATGTTTGAAATCTTCAGGACAAGGTCTTCTTGACAATGCATCTGCGTTGCCATGAGATTTCCCGCTGCGATGTTCGATCTCAAAGTCGTATTCCTGCAGTAGTTCAATCCATCTCGCAACTTGTCCTTCTGGATTTTTAAACTGTAATAGCCATTTTAGTGCAGCATGGTAAGTTCGTAAGTGAAATTTTCGCCCCAGAAGATATTTGCTAAAATGCTGCAACGACTTTACCACAGCTAGCAATTCGCGTCTTGTAACACAATAGTTCCTTTCCGATTTTGACAACGACTTGCTGAAGTACGCTATCACGACCTCTTGGTCACCATTCCGTTGAGACAACCCACCGCCAAGTCCTATATCACTTGCGTCTGTGTCAACCATAAATTTTTTGCTTGCATGAGGGTATCCCAAAATAGGTGTTTTGCACAGACGGTCCTTGAGCTCCTGGATTGCGATATTGCAACTTTCATCCCAGCGGAAAAGTCGCTTCTCCTCGGTTAGTTTATGCAGAGGTTTGGCTATATCTGCAAAGTTCTTCACAAACCGCCGGTAACAGGAGCACAAACCCAAAAATGCTCTAACCTCCGTCTTGTCTTTTGGAACCGGCCAATCCTTGACAGCGGCGATTTTCTCTGGATCTGTGCGGATGCCCTCTTCCAATACTACATATCCCAAAAAGTTAACTTGCCGTTTGAATAGTGAACATTTCTTCGGACTCTACTTGAGGTTGGCACTCTGAATCTTCATGAGCACGCGTTCCAAGTTTTTAAGGTGTTCCTCAAACGTACGGCTCACGATGATGATGTCATCCAAGTAGACCAGACAGGCATCGCCAATTAGCCCGGTAAGTACAAGTTCCATCAACCTTGCAAACGTTGCTGGAGCATTGCATAACCCAAACGGCATTACTTTAAATTGCCACAGACCCTTTCCCGTCGAGAACGCATTTTTCTCCTTGTCCTTAGGGTCAATTTCAACTTGCCAGTAGCCACTTCTTAGATCCAGCGTGCTAAACCACTTTATTCCTGTAAGCATGTCCAGCGTGTCATCAATTCTTGGCAAGGGATAGCTGTCCTTCTTCGTAACGTCGTTCAGACGGCGGTATTCAACACAAAACCGCATGCTGCCATCCTTCTTCTTTACCAGCACCACTGGTGAACACCATGGACTAGAGGAAGGTTCAATAACACCATCCTTCACCATTCCTTCAATCGTGGTTTCCACTTCTTTTCACGTGCTACCGGCAATCTTCTTGGTCGCTGACGGATAGGCAATTCTTCTCCTGTGTTTATTTTGTGTTGAACTAAGCCAGTCTTTCCTATGTCGGCATCGTTTGATGAGAATATATCGGCATGCTTGAGTAACAACTTCTTCGCCTTAACCATTTCGGTCGGGGAGAGAACGCTGCGACAGTCTTCCAAAAGTGTGGTCACTCTCGTTTGTGCATCCTTGCTGGGGGTCTCACTCGATAGATATTGGCACCGACGTAACCAATCCACTTCCTCAGAAGTACCAAGCAGCGTGCCTTTTTCTATAATGTGTTCCCGGTCACAAAGGTTCAGCACACGTACTCCTGAGATGTTAGTGGTTCTGACCAAGGTTCGAGCCACTTTCCAAGGAAGGTCATTGTTTGCCCTTTCCACAAATACACAACGGTGAGCTTGCCCAGCGTTTCGGGGAAGACTAATCGGAACAATCGTTTTCGATCTCGGCGGAAGAACAATCTTCTTAATACCGTACACGTTCCCTGGTAACGCACCTTCCATAAAAAGTTCCTCCTGTCCACATTTCAAAACACCTTGCTTAACGTCGATCTCACAACAATTATTCCTCATAAAGTCTAGGCCCAGGATGCAGTCATCCATTATATCAGCCACGATGACATTATGCAGGTAGATCACGTTGCCTAGCTTTAACTCCATCTCCTTCTCTCCACGGACGGGTATACGCTGACCGGTGGCTGTTACCAAATTAATGCGTTCTCGGTTGTATGCGGAGTCCCCAAGGAACTGACTTATAAGTTGGGAACTAACAACCGTGCGAGAGGCTCCAGTGTCTATGGTCAGTTTACACGGCATTCCGTTGACCTCGCCCTTGATGATTAGACTGTTCCCATCATGGGTTTGTGAGATCGAGATCCTTGGGGCTCTTTTAACATCAGCCAGCACCCGCCCCGCAGTTCTGGCTTTTACTCGTTTCCCTGCTGCTGCTGGGCGGTGCTGTTGGCCGCACTACCCTCCTGTGATCGTTCACCTTCCCTTTCTAGTGTTCGCTTGGGAGGGTCGAAGATGGCCCTTTTTCCCACAGCCATAGCACCTAGGGCTGTATCCTTTGTTGCGGTCGCGAGCTGTAGCTGCTGCAACCTCCCTGACGCGATGGGAACGATGATCCTGCCGCACGGCTTCCACCTCCAGTGCATAGGCCAAGGCGTCCTTAAGCGTCTCGTGGTGCCCGAGCCTCACAGCAGCTCTGACTTCCAGGTCGCGGATGCCGTCGATGAATGTCTGCACCAGGTTCCCTTCAATCAGCGCAGGTACAGACCAGTATGCTTTTCGCACCAGCTTCTCCACCTCTAGAGCCCACTGCTGCAGGTTTTCTGATGCTGCACGTGATCTTTAAGCTGTGCACGAAAGACGTGTTACAGGTGAGCGTCGCCATATCTCGACTCCTGTGCCTCAAGGAGTTGCTCATAAGTCACTTCCTCACCGAGAGCTTGCAGAACTGTTAAGGCCTGGTCGCGCAGGCCTAGTGTGAGAGCAGTCATGGCCTGACTTTTATTCCAGCCGTTCGCCTTCATAACAGCTTCAAACTGGATTTTGTAGGCCGACCAGGAAGAAGTCCCGTCGAACGGTGGCACCTTGAACCCACGTAGCGAAGGTGTTGCAGCTACTACGGGAGCTGTAATTGCATCCCCCAGTTTGAGGTCATCCAGCGTTTTCTTCACGTCAGCCACCACGTTGTCAACCCGATTGTTCACTTGGTCGATTCGGGTTTCAGCTTTCTCGATTCGGGTTTCAGCTTTCGTGATTTGGGTTTCAGCTTCCGACAGGCGGTTATCATGCTGAGCAACCCTATCCTTCACCTCGTTTATCTCCTTCCCGAAGTAGCGTGAAGGTCCTTCATGAGGAGCATTTGCTCTTCCAACCGACGGGCCTGTTCATCCTGTCCGCTCTGCAGCTGCTCTTTCAACTGACGGACCTGTTCCTCCTGTCGGCGAGCCTGTTCCTCCTGTTGGCGAGCCTGTTCCTCCTGTCGGCGAGCCTGTTCCTCCTGTCGGCGAGCCTGTTCCTCCTGCTGCTCTTTCAACAGACGGGCCTGTTCCTCTCGTCCGCGCTGCAGCTGCTCCTGTAGCATCGCCATCAGAGCACCTAAGTCAGGTGCTGTAGATGTAGGAGCTACTGACGGGCCCGCAGCCTCCGTGGCTGGCAGTTGGCCCTCCGACGTCTGCGGCGTTGCACCACCAAATCTCCCCTGGTCCGTCTCATGCTGTCGTTGACTGCGGGTACGGACACCCTCCGTTTCTTCCTTCGGTAAAATTGGCATGATTTTATCCCACTTCTGATACCAATTGTTACGAGCTTGAGGTTCGTGACAATAAAAATTGCCGATAAAATACCTAAATTAACACTTTAATTTTCTTTACACTAATTAAAACTTAAAACACTAAAAATTTAATCACACTGATTCAATTTATTCCGTTCCGAAGCTTCGCTTGTCTCGCCAAATTCAATACTTCCCCGATCGCACCTTGCAGCGCCTGTAAATACACATTAGTACCGAATCATCCAGTACATTCAAGTAAATACGCGCACTAATCGACAAAGCGCCGAAAGTTCGAGAGTCAGCATCCAGAAGCTTAGTTCTTCGTTTCGACAACAGATGGCGCTGTCGGTTGAAAGATTAGTGATGTCATTTTCTGGAAAGCTCTCCCCTCGCTCCGTTACCCGACACTAGATGGCGCTAGTGTCAGATGTCAACTTAGCCGCGTAACAATACTGTTTATGATTCGGAATTTCTGATAGCGTGATTTTGGCTTCGGTGTGTTTCGCTTGCGGCGCGACGACAGCGCCGCCACAAGTTAATACACGGAAGAAATTACAAATTCAATTAGTTTTACTAAAATGCTAGAAGTCAGAGGTGTAACGACGAGTATAACTTTTTGCAATAAATGCCAACTTCATATGGGGTGCACTAGTTTAATGATGGACATTTTAGACGAATGACGAAAAATTAATCCAAAAACACCAAACTCAGAATGGGTTATAGGTAACAGTATTTCATTTGCGAGAGTTTCGTTATCTCTACGCCCGCTGACACGCTCTATCAGCATGATAAATACAGGCAAATTTCCCTATAGTGGAGAAAGAATAAAATAGGATAATGTTTCAACTATTTATGAAATATATTGTAGACTATAATAAAAGTTAGTTATTTAATTTCACCTTTGCTCTGACGTCCTGTCTGTGGCGATAATGATGTCTTGATTTTTCTTCTGATCGATATCTTTTTTCAAGCTTTTTATATAGTCGGGCTCCACTTGTAGGCTTTTTAGTTGGACCGCAGGATGGGGAGTCAGCGAAACCAGCTGGAGCGGGAACAATGTCGGGAGTAGCATCAGCGTACGATTCCTTACAATGAATAAAGAAAGTTAAAAACATGTAAAATCTTTACATTCGTGGTATATTCAAAGGTATTTTTTTTTCTTACATCGGTATGGGAGGTTCTCGAAGTACGACTGTCATGTTCGTGAGTCGCTGTTACTATATGGACTTCTTTTCCGCAGTGTAAGCAATGCGCTTTGGCTTCACACTCTGCACCGGCATTGCTATGTTCAGTTTGTTCTGAATAAAAAACGGAATCGGAACCGGGTGACACTGATCGGAGAGATTCTGCTGAAGCTGCTTTTGCAAATTTTCCATCTGTTACAAATTATATGCGCTGTGTATCGTGGTGTTTTAAAAAAGTTAAAATAAATATTAAAGTTAATTGATAGAATCAGGCGTTACTTAACGGAAATCCATTATAATAAAAATATAAATTACTTCGCAACCTTCCACCAACTAAATACAATGATGTGTCTTACCTGGATTGAAGATCAACTGACTTAGCGGTCAGCCGCCGTAGAGTCTACATCACCTGAGGATGCCTTGTGTAGAGGCGAAACACGTGTCGTATTATCGTCGATGGTGTGTCTTACCTGGAATAGTGGTGTTGGAAGTAGTGGTGCCGGGAGTAGTGGTGTTGGGAGTAGTGGTGCTGGGACTAGTGGTGACGGAGTTAGTGATGAAAGGGGGGGTGCTCCAGAAGACACATCATTGTATTTAGTTGGCGGAAGGTTGCGAAGTAATTTATATTTTTATAATATTAAAGTTGTTAAAATGTGATCTCATAGAATCAAAGTTACTTATTTTCAAGATGAACAATGCGGTAATTTAATATAGTCGCTATTAATTCAAAAGTAACTAAGCTATCTTTCAATTCACTTACTTTGAATGTAAATAAAACAATACAAAATCTTCGTTTTACATTAATACACAAACAGAATCATTGTTATTGTTCTTGTTATAAAACAATTTTAAAGAAATTAATAAGAAGAATAGACTTGAAATTATGAAGCATTATTTCTGTATCTATGTTATCGCCTAATTTATTTTTTATAGTATTATTTTTCCCTTCCTATAGAAATTACGACACATACGGGGAGGTAAAAACCATTAAGTGCCTTTGTTTTTTCTACTATACATGATTATAGCGTAGTTAACAATTCGTGCTTGCTAAAAATATCATTGCTTGGTATATATTACTTAGTGGTGGCGTAAGATAATCCAGTACTCTAATCATCACGAGATTGTCATAAGAGGCGATAGAGAGAAATGAAACGGGAGATGAGCAGCAGCATCTTACTGATAATAACTCAAAATATTAAAAAAGACTATGTATACCAACGCGTCAGCCAACTATTACACATTTACAGGGCAATTATGGAAAAATACCCCTACGAGGCAATCAAGGCAGTATCAGGTAGGCTTTAATAATGATTATAATGAAGATGAAAAAATATTATAACATTTTATCATTTGCATACATATTTTTATAATAGCTCATTTACATAAAACAGTTCAATAATTATTTACCTCTATCTTGTTTGCGGTGATGACGGGGGGAAGTTGTTGGACTTTTAACATAACGTAAGGGTGTTAATCTTGATCCTGCACTGGTAAGAGTCCGAGTAGTTTCAATGTCCTCTGCTTCAAGTGAACTCATGCAAGGTACTGTAGGTATTGATTGTTTCCTTCTAGGTAAACTGCCGGGAAGTGATATACTTTCATTTGAACCACTTTTTCTTCGAGGCCTACTATCAAACCATAAGTTTTAGTTAGCAAAAAAAGGAAAATAAAAACAATCTAAATTTGCATACTACCTGTAACAATGACTGTTTCCAGCAGTGGGTGATTTCACAAACATTGCATTACCACTAGTTTTTCTTCTTGGGCTGTCACGCAGTCGTCTGTGTTTTCGAGGTGATACGTTTCCATTGCCTATACTTTCTTTCCTGTATTGCTCACTAGAATCATCGGAGGTTGGAATATTAAGATGAAGCTTCATATTAGACCCTAGCCCATCACGTCTATCGAAATGCTGGGGCCTGTATCCGTGAGTCCCGTCAGAATTTTTACTTTGTGTTGGACTTTTGGCTTTTAACTTTGTTCTTTTAACATGTCTCTCCCTTTCCAGAGGTCGCTTATTTTCCGATTCTTTTTCTTTAAATATTTTTTCTTTTAAAGATTTCTCAATTTCTGTTGATTCTCTAGGCGATGATTGAACACTTCTGGTTTTTTCTATAAAGTGTGTTTTCTTTTTCTTTGATTCAGATGTTTTGTCTTCTATGGGTGACTGTATACTACTAGGTTTAAATATACTGCGGTCAGCTCGAGCTTTAAGATCAGTGTCGTTTTCTTTTTTACCCCAATCATCTTGTGAAGTAGATATTGAATCATCATAAGATTTCGAAAATTCTAATTTAAAAGCTCTCTTTTTCCTTTTTTTGTCTTCAGCTAACCAAGACTTTTGTCTACTTGTGGATTTATACTTTTGGGAGTATTTATATGCTGGAATAAGTAATATTATAATATTAACTTATATTGAATATAATAATAAATTGATAGATATCAATAATACATAATTTCGTACTTAGTCCTCCGTCATCTTCATCATCTACTGGACTTTCGTAATATCCGGAAGAAGAATAATGGACGCTTCTTTCATCGTCTGATAAAGAACCCTGTGAAAAGAATACGCAAAAATGATTGGTATTTCAAGTGTATTTTCCTTTCAATAAATTAAAAATACTTACCATTATCTTTGGTACAAGTTGCTCCTTTTGTTCTGTATCATTTTTCAAATCTTCTTTCATTTGAGGCGATAATTTATCTGGTATTTGGTTTGATCTTTCATCAATAGATTTATCTTCCACACTTTCAGTGACGTTTGGATTGGAGCCCCCTATACTGTAGCTACCACTAGAACTACTCTTACCGCTTATTGTGTCTCGTGTAGTTGTGCTCTTAAAAGAAGATAAATTTAGGAGTGAAGACTTTTAGTAAAGGTATTAGAAAGTGTTAGAAAGTTAAAAGGAATGTTTATGTAATCTCACCTTTTTTGTAACTTCATCTTTAGATTTAATTAATTCAGTCTTATCTCTCCTAATGTGATCAATCGTGTGATTAATGTCGGCTTTTACCTCAAATCTTTCTACACAAGGCTTAGAAATTCTATCTGTTAAAGTCATCGGGGGAGATGACAGGTCGGGAACTATAAAGTCATCACTTATCTGTAATGGCGGTGAAAAACTTGGCACAATTAAATCCTCTGCAATATTATCTGTTTTTGTTGAGGAATATAGGCTAGATGCACTCTCAAAGGACGAACCTTCTTGCGTTTTGTTATTTTCTGGATCTGGAAATTGCACATAAAGTATTAAAAAATATTTTTATAAAAGTAATATCAATCACTATAAATGTTTAAACTTACGACTATTTTGATTTTTACTGTTACTTTTCTTAGAGCTGTCAGAATTTGCTGTCACGTAATCTTCAGTAGTCGTTGTGCTTTCAGACACATCAGTTGTATTGATTTTACCTGAATCTGTTCGAGCCAAGCTAGTTTCGCTACTTGCTGTCTTTGTTAATGTAGGCTCAGATGGAGTTTGTGTTATTTGGTTCGGAACAGATCCATTGGGTTCTTTCTGTAAAGCCTTTTTTTGAAGGTCTCTTCGCCTTGATGGACTTAATGCTCTTTCTCTCTTCTTATTAATAAAGCTCGGGGTTCTTTTAAATGGGACGACGTCCGTTAAATCAAGACTAGGATGTGTGATAGCAATTGCTGGAGTATGATTGGATTTAAGTGGTCCTGTTGGAGATGGTGTTGTAGATATTAGTGGCTGTTTTGTTATGGGTAAAGTAACACTAGGAACAACTGCAGGTGGTGACAGTGATGCTCTCACTTGGTGACTCGAACTTGCACTTGATGTATCTAATTTTGTTCGAGGTGAAGTTGGCGACTGACTCTGCGCAGAAAACATATTATAGAATAGATTTTTTTAAGGAATTAAAAATAGCAAATACAATATTTTCTTTTTATTACCTCTTTTTCTTTAAATATATATTAAATGATTATATTGCTCTTACAACATGTTTTGAAATGCAGTATTAATGTTTAGTAGACAAAAATATTAAAAAGGATTGATACCTGCGAAGCGTCAAGTTCTTCATCTAAAGCATCAGTATCTAAAGATGATCGTTGTTGGTGTTGTAATAATAAAAGTTGTTTTCTTCGCGATGTTGGTGTTAAAAGCGCAAGAGCACCCGGTGATGCAGCAAGGGAACTTAGATCAGAGGAACTAAAAATAAATTCGATTAATGTAAATTATTTAATTTACGAAAGATAAACATAATTTTTACTAATCTATATATACCTAATTACAGTTCCATTATCTGTACCGGAGTCCACTTGAAGCACAGTAGCTTGTGATTCATTCCACATGCCGTCAGAATGATCTCTGTAATTTATTAATGTAAAAAGAACATTTAAAGGTGGATGAAACTGCAATTGATATAATTAATTAAAACCTAAGTAAGAATTAAATCAACGCATCGATCAGCATTATTGGCTCTTTTATAGAAGAGGGCGGCAAACGACCATGCGGTTCACCTGATAGTAAGTGGGTACCGCCACTCATGAACTAAATTACCAGGGTACTGAAGGTGCGTTGACGGCCTTTTAGAAAGGAGTAAGCTCTTTTCTTGAAGCTCCAAAGTCGTATATGTCCGAAAAAATCGTCGGTGGTAAGCAATTTCAAACAGAGGTTGTACGAGGAAGAAAACTCCTAGTAAAGTACACAGTGGCGGACCGCGAAGCATCTCGATGGTGAGGATGGTATCGTGAGTTTTCATTTGAAATGCGTTCGCGAAATTTGACGGTTGGAATTAATCCAAACAATTCCTCAGAGCACTCCACGTTGTAGATGCTATAGAAAATGAAAAGTGTGCATCCCTTCGCGGCGCCAGTGAATCGAGCCGATCAGAAAGAACTCAGTCGTCAGCAATTCGAACAGCTCGGTGCAGGTTGCGGTCAAGTGGAAGGAACTAGCACTAGACTGCCTCGGCCCAGAGATGGGAACAATATTCCATGTGAGGACGAACTTCCGACTTGTAAAGTTGCAAGTGGTGTGCCGGCATGAAATACTGTCCCACTTTACTGAGCACGCCAAGCTACCTAGAGGCCAAGTTGACCTTTCCTTACAACTGACCAGGAAACTGCACATTATTTGATATGTTGACGCAGAGGATTCCAATGCTAGCTGAGGCAGCAAGTGAGTGCCTTGGAGCTGAGGGGATACGACAAAGGGGTTATTTTAGCGCTTCACTCGCAATTTTGTTTTCTGGGCCAACTCGATTGCAATGGATTAGATTTAGTCGCCCCTAATCCGATTATTTGTACTACAAAGTCTCGACTTCAGACACAAGTTTGTTCCAGTGCTCAGCGACTTTATCCCGAGAAATATTGGCACGGAAGGTATATAAAGCATCACTAGTGCTGTCGTCCGCATAGCAAATGGTTTTAACCATTTTGCACCATATCATAGATATGGAGAAGAGAAAGCGTTGGTCACAGCACGCAGCCTTGTAATCAGAGCACGCCCTTGATACTCCGTTCAGTAAATAAACTAGTGATTTAAATGCACAATTTTTCAGGAAGCCCATAGGAGCGCCAAAAGAAGCGGTTTGTGCCAAACCCGCTATATTCAAACTAACGGCAATTCCTCACTTTTGGACTCTAATGTCTCCGCCCACCTATTAATCAGGTAGACTAGGAGATCACCAGTTGATCATCCCCGAGGAAAACCGTATTGGCGGTCACTAATCAACTGATGACCTTCAAAGTACCTCATGAAATAATTCACATGGAACTTTTTATTCCTTCTTCTGTGGTGCCCATCGGTGGCAGATCAGATCCTCGGGATTACCGTTATGGGACCTATACGGGCACTAGTAGATGCGTATCGCTGTCTACGCGTAGCCAAAGGATAGACAGGTCCGAACCCTCAAGACCGCCGATGCGTCGAGAACAGATGTTCTCTCTGACGTATATGCAAACTCCAGCCCAAGACACATAGGCATTCCAATTTGTACCCCGGGTAGGAGAGATACGAAGTATCAGCCTGAGAGGGCACATGCATCTTGGTCAGAAAGAGCAATGTCAGCTTAGATATCTCCAGATGGTAGTGGAGAGCGTTGAAGTTCGAATGAAGTCCCCTGATGTTGAAGAAATTCAAGGATATAGTGGTAGGGGTCGCTTTGGTCTTGTTGCTCAGTTTTCCCCGAGCAGTTTTTGTGTTAAGCTGAATTTTGCCGTCCCTAGAATATGCGGGGTAGCCTGAGTACCCACGCTATGCAGGAGTAATTTAGTTTGGTTGTCGATGCTCAGCGAGGGATTCTTCATTACAGGGATGACTGTATCCACCTGGTTAATGTTTCATTTAATTCAGCTACCCTATTGATGAAGGGGGAGGGGGGCGGAATTGAGTCTCCGACCACCTTCACTCACCCGACGAAACGCAGTTGACTTCATTCATATAGCACAATTAAAAGTAACGTAAAAATTTGAAAGACGAGGATAGGTAATGTGTTGTGTCATCTACATCTGTGTATTTTCTATATAATAAGATAAGGTAAAAATAATCTCCTTGTCATACCTGCTGTGATCAATAGTGAGCGACTCGTTAGACGCACACGGTGATGTCTTTTCCAACGGTGCAAGAATCGTTGTGACATTGTTTGAAATTACAGCTCTTTTTGATTTAGGTTCTTTTTCGTTACCTAAAAGTATCGGATCAGGTGAACCTGGGCTAGACTTAGCCGTGCTGAAATAGTTACAAAAATATCATTTTAAAAATATTTATTAATTTATCATTATATTATATGCTATAAAATTATCACATTCAATTTAGTTCATTTATAACAATTTACCAAAATATAAATAGTTGGTGCTGAACTTCATTGAAGAAACCAATACATCAAAATACAAAGGGCCTCAATTATTATGATATTTTATAGAAATAAACTAAAACTTAGGTAATTATTTCATAAAAAATCCGATTACTTCGAACAAATCATCTAAATAGCACTTTGCATGAATCTGCCCTTGTATAGCTTGCGTGCATACCTGGGTAAAGGCATTTTATCCTTGGTGATGGTATCTGTTTGTTCTTCAAAACTAACGCTTCGAGCTCTAAATGGTTCATGCTTGTAACTAATATACTTTTCATGAAAATCTTCGTATGGTGCATTTCCGTCCGAAGAACTATGAAGAGAATTTTATGCATGAGAATGGGTGAAAAAAGCACTTGCAGTCTTGATTTTAAATGCAGCTACATACGTCGTACTGAGAAACTATGCCAGAATGATTATGCACTTGCATTGCGAGTCAGTGTCATATACCAGTTAGTTGGAAAGTGGTGTAAATGTGCAAAAACATTACTACGTGACTTGTGTATAAATATTGAAAAAATATAAACACTTGCATTTACCTAAAGGATCCATCTGGTTCAAAACCAAAAATGCCCTCGTCCTTAATGGGAGTTTGGTTATAGTTCTGTCCAATGTATTGTATATACATAGCATCCCTTTCTCTATCTTCTCTGGTCATGTTTTCTTGACTCGTAGACATAACTATTGGTGCATCTTTAATTCCTTCACTACTAGAACTAATTTCACTTTTTCTTCTGCAAGAAAAAATGAGATAATTAAAACAATTGAAATTAAAATATTGTATATAAATAACAATTACATAACTTACACGTCTAGCAAAATTTCTCCCTCAGACATAGTTTTCTGTAGCATCCTTTTATTTTTTCTACGTAATGTTGTAAAGGGTATAGCCTCATCATCAGGTCGCGGTTCGAAATCAATAATTATTTCCTTTTCATTTTTTTCACTATCATCAGTGGTTGTTACCGATGTTTCAGTGGATGGTTCTGATTGAAATGTTGATGTTTTAGATAGAGGATGCGAAGAATTGATTGTTTTTTGAGAAGCTTCACTAGTACTTTTGGATAAAATAGATTTCAATGCTCGTTCACCTTTAGTCTGCTTTGCTATTTCTTGTTGTAAATATTCTAAATTACGACGATTTAACGCCATACTTTTTTCTATATTCTCAATATCATCATCAATAGTATCATCACGATCACTTTCGTGAATGAATTGGAAATTTTGTTGAAAATATTCTTGAGCCTGTCTTTGTAATGCACTTAGTTCTGATGATTTATCTACTTGTGATGAAGAAGCTACAGACTTTATAGAGGAAGAAGTAACATCATCTGAGTCTCCTCTTTGCATAAATGGTGATGATGGTATAGCTGTCGAAGGAGATCGAGGTGATCTTGGCGGCTCTTCGGATTGAGTTCTGTGCAATTTTTCGTGGTCGTGGTTTATAAAGCTAAAAATAATTTGAAACATCATAAAACCTTTTCAATTAAAATACATTTTAATGATAGTTAAAAAAAGAAGTACCTTTCTATTGTAGCACTGACATTATTTTGTACTTCACGTCCTGCTAAACGGTCTCCTCCAACTTCGGAAAAAGATTTTGTAAGTCTTCGAGCTCCTACATTATAACCGTTAGTTTGAACTCCTGCTGCAACCATCTTTACCTAATAATATCAAAACTTTTCAATGATGATGCTTTGGAAATGTTTTAATGAAATTAAAAAAACTTCAACTCGAATGCCCTTATATATAAATAAAATAATTTTTTCCCACAGTCTTTAAATTAAAATATCTAAATCTTACCCTTTTAATTGTTCGCGGACTTAGTGACAAATAATTTGGAGGTAATGGTTTCCTTCCTAGGCAAACTTCAGTTTGTGTTGCCTGTGTTCGCATAACGCCTTTTTTAATTGAATCTAAAAATAAACGAATGGACATTACTTTCTGAAGTATAATTCCAAATAAAATTACAATTTTGGTATAGGTTTGAAAGTATTTACCTAAAACAACCACTTTTGGTTGATCAGGTTGTTGAGGTCTTTGAGCAGACGACACAGGATGCGTAGGTAGCGGAGCGATTGGAGGCGGATAGTGAATTGGTGCTGGTGCATTTTGGGCTGCTATGTATTGTGGATATGGTGCAAATGGTTGAAAAATCACCGGCAACGTTGAGTACGGTTTTGGTTCCGGCTGCATGAAAAAATAAAATGTTAAACTAATAATCCTATTATGCGACATTAAGTACGCAATATAATGGGGAAAGAATCTGTTATTCTATAAGCGCAATTAAAAGTCAAGTATGGAAAAATACTGTTACGAGCTGGGTTCGTCAATAAAAATTGCCGATAAAATTACCTAAATTAACACTTTAATTTTCTTTACACAAATTAAAACTTAAAACACTAATAATTAATCACACTAATTCACTTTATTTCGCTCCGAAGCTTCGCTTGTCTCGCCGAATTCAATACTTCTCCGATCGCATCTTGCAGCGCCTATTTATATAAATTAGCACAGAAATATCCAGAATATTCAAGTAAACACGCGCAAGGTACCGAGAGTTTGAGTTTCAACTTCAAGAAGTTTAGTTCTTCGGTTCGAGACTAGATGGCGCTAGTGACGTCGACTAAGGCGCGTAACAATACTATAAAAATTTGCATATATTGTTATTAAAGCCAGAGATTTCATACTGGAATTCATAGTCGTAGTTGACAAGTCCCACGATATTCATTATTCAGTATTTACCTAGAGGTTGCATTATGAATCAATATTTTTGTCTATCATAAACAATCACTGAAGAATCTCCTATATGAATAGAATTTCATTTAATATTGTCTATAATTTAAATGATGTTTCAGTTAATAAAAACTAAAAAAAGGTAAAGATAATATTATACGTCCATTGATTTCTCTTAAAATCGGTAAAAGTTAAAGTGTTTAAAAACTTTAATAAATCAAGGGTGCTAGTTGTACGAATCATTCGGGGCAGCAAAAATTAAAATTTTATTGAAGAAGAAGCAGTTACGCACACAGTATCCTTGATAAACTATCAATTTTAAAGCTGATTAGACGTTATGGTTTTTTTTTGACATATAAAGAAAAAAGCTATGGAATCGTTTGGTTATCAAAATTTGGGCAGTCAGCAATCAACATCTTACACATTTTGAATTGGGGAATATATGAAATTCTTGAAGGTTGAATTCGACCATAGTGCCTGAATTGTCTTTTAGACATTGACTATGAATTCCAGTGTCAGAAATCTAGGTACACTGCAAATTCCTTATGGATAAATTTTACACCTAATTCTCCAAAATTTGTAGCTAATAACTAGTGAAAGTATTAATAATTTTAAAAATTAAATTGTAAAGCGTGACGAAACAAAATTGTATAGCGTTTTGTTCAATCTTTTTCCCAAAATAAATTGTTAAAACAGCCTGATAATTATTAAGATGGTAAACTTTTTTGTAAGTTTACTTTAGAACAGGACTTTATCAGACCTACTATTACTACTAATGACGATACTATTCTAATGACGATAATTTAATTCATTAAAATCAATATTAATGTAATAACAGTTCTTACTAACGTAAAAATTTTATCAGAAATTAATAACAATTACCTTGACAGATCTTCCGTCGATTAAACGTTCACAGTCGCGTTTATATCGACCACCAACAGCAGCTGGCATCACGGAATCATCAAAGGTGGTCAGAGTGTGAGATCGAGCAAATGACACGTGTTTTGTTCTAAAGCAAGCAAATAAATTTAAAATTAGCACTTTTAAGTATCAAAATATATTAATTATAACACTTTGAAATAATAATAATATATAATAATAACCCAGTGTGGATTAAACTTCAGTAAAATAGAATAAAATGTGGATGTGTTTTGGGATTTAACAATTTAGTCAATATTTAAACCAAATTCTAAATGAGGCTCCAGATGGCGATAAACGTAGGTGCCCCATTTTAAGTTGGTCGATTCATATACCACAGACTGGTGATAAGGAGTAGAATCATGAGCATATTAAGTTAACGTTTTTGTAGAGATTTTATTTAGATTTAGATATTTATTTCAATTGCTAAAATACAGCTTTTTATTAAAAACATTTTTACATTTTGATTTATTAATTTCTTAACAACACTTCTAAAAAGTAATATACGAGTATTATCAAAAGAACAAACCATTTTCCGTGAACCATCTTTTGTCAGCTTATTATAGCTTTTACAAAATGCTGATTTTGAAGAAAAATGTGTCTTGCACATGCGACGTTAAAATATTGTTGCGACAGCCAGTTGCGTATTATGTACGTCACATTGTACGAGAAAAATCCCGGCGATATAGGACCAAAAAATAGATAAGGTTGATATTACTAACGCAAGCTTAAATCAACCTTATATTAATGATTTCTTAAATTTACGCGAACACTACACGTTGAATAAAACTATTATTTACGGATTTTATCGCGTTAGGTTTACAATGTTAAAGCCTTTTCTCCTTTGGATATTGTTATCGCTATGTTATCTCGAGTGTTCTAGTACTTTCTGGGTAAAAGAGTGCAATGACTCAGATTGGCCTAGAAAGTTCTACATTTCTTTAATCGACTATAAAAGCGTGTGCCAGCGATCGGAGAGTTACTTAATTATTTTGGAAATGCGAAAGTGAACTCTACTCTGGGAAGCAACTACGAGAATGAAACCTACACCTGCGATTATCGAGGACCTCACCGAAGAAGCATAGCGATTTTGAAGTAATTTACTTGTGTGTGTAAAAATTTAAAAAAATTTCATCCTAAACGTCATTTTTACTCACCCGCACGTAACAATATGAATAGCAAACTTATTATTTTGTATAAGCAGTATTGACTAAAATAATAATTTATTGAGTCTAAGTTCTATACTTTACCTGTGTGGAGGTATAGTGAGGGGTGGTGGTGGAGGCGGTGGCGGTATGGGAGTATGTGCAGGGCAACTGAAAACAACAATATGTTTTCAATTAGAGCGACTCCTAACATATTTTACGCCGAATGGTGTAGTGGTGCTTAATTTTCAGCCAACTTAGAAAAAGGAGGGGGTTCACAATTCTATTATATGTTTCTTTTTAGTATATGTATATTTTCAAGGTTTTTTTCCATGTTTTATATTATGAACCAATTTCAGTGATTATTTTTATTAAATAGGTGTGACTCCACATAAATTAGGGTAAAAATACCACTCCTAAGGGCGGTGATGAGTAAAATTGGGGATGAAGTTCTTTTTTCATTTAGACGAAATTTTAGTTGTGCTATAGTAAGTGCCAAATCGATTGAGAAAAACGGACAATGACCTCAGATATGAACCGAGTGTCAAAAGGCGTAACTTACAAAATCTCAATTTAGTACTTTATAACAATAGATGATTTTTCTTCTACAGCGATATTTTACATAACTATTTAATAATAGTTAATAAATATATATATTATATCAATCATTATAAAAAATATTAAAAAAATCATTATAAATAAAGAAAGTACTAATTAAGCGAGCTCCTGGTTAAACGATCGAAAGGTCATTGTCCGTTTTTCCAAATCGATCTGGCACATACTATAGTGATATTTGTCGTCCACTTATAAGGGTGAACATTTTAGCCTCTGATTAAAAGTAAAAGCCGACTTCAAGAAACTAGAAGGAATAAAATAATATAACAGTTTCTGAATTTCACTGCTGAATTTTACGGTCTATATTTCTTGTATAGACTGACCTAACGTCGGCTTATAATTTACATAAAAAACTATTTTTATCTTAAAGGTCTAGGTGTGGGTGGTTAGGTTTATATAAATATATACAACGTAAGGGCAATTAACTTAAATAAATAAAAATAACTTAAATAAATATTTTTAAAACACTTGTGTGTCTGGTGTATAAAATTGGTCAGTTTGCGAATTTCGCTATCGCGCACATGTTAATTTTTCCACTACGCTGACAAAATAGCTCAAGGTATGAATTTACGTGGTAGAGCTATGCAGCAGCTTTGCTAGTAGTATAGTTGTAGCACGAATGAGTCGGCTCAACCGGGAAAGGACTATGATGCTCTCACAGAATACCAGCGTAAAATAGCTCAACACTGCTATGTGTCGTACGAGACCCATTTTACGAACGATTTTTGAAACGAAGCATTCCATCTTAGTCCTCACGGGTGGCAGCGCATCTGCGTTTTGATTCATAATCAAGTATGGATGTAGATGTCTATGGGCGACGGCTACCACGTACCACCGGATGGACTGTTTGCTCGTTTGTCACCCTTATAATATAAGTAAATATATATATATATATATATATATATATATATATATATATATATAGTGGACATTTTTTTTTTTTGAAGTAAAACTTCTTTAGATCCATTGAGCATTACATTTAAAGGATGTATCGTAACGCTGCCCCCAAATTTAATGCTTATTACATCATTTAATGTAATACATGTAATGCTCAACTAGAAGAACAATGTGGAAAAACAAAATGAATTAAAGAAATTGAGAGCACGAAGACTATTTTTTATCACGTAGTTTAAAATTATTTTCAAAAGTTGACCCAAAGAAATTGTTTGTAACTTTTAGATGAACAATATTTATCACTCAAAAATCGCTTTTATTTAATTTTTATATTATAATAATTAAAGTTTAGTTTAATACATACGGTATTATTGAAGGTGGTCTTGGGAGAGATCCCCCCCGGCTCATTGACGCGATTTGGTCGACATTATAGTTCTGCGGCCAACCCGCGTTATCTTCTATTACCGATCTGTAACAAAGAGAGAGGTGATGTCTTACATTTACGCGAGCACTACACATTGATTAAAACTAATTATACGGATTTTATCGCGTTTATTTATGTTATTTTTAATACCCGACGTTTGGGGTGCTTTCCAGCACCCACGGTAACGGGGGACTGAGGTGACTGACGTCTCGATGTCAAAGTTAACCCGGAGTACCTTCAGCTTTTTAATTATTGTCTTGTGTATGTGTCGTTGACCAAAGACAATAATTAAAAAGCTGAAGGTACTCCGGGTTAACTTTGACATCGGGACGTCAGTCACCTCAGTCCCCCGTGACTATGGGTGCTGGAAAGTACCCGAAACGTCGGGTATTAAAAATAACATAAATAAACGCGATAAAATTCGTAAAATTAGTTTTAATCAAAGAGAGAGTTGATTCTAATATGGAAAAAATACAACAAAGTTATAAAAGAAGATTTTTTTTACATTTTGAATTTATTGATTACTTTTTTGGAAGAGTACACAGCTGGCCATTTTGGCATTCAAGCTAGAAAATTTGCTATCACAGCCAACTTTACAACAGAATCGTCGATTACCGCAAATGTTTCATTTGCCAAGCGCAATCATTACGTCACTACATTTAAGTTGGTATTATTTACAGTGGAATAAAAACAATGTACTAGTTAAATATATTCATATGCTGTTAAAAGTAAATAATTTATCATTAAAAGGACTGTAAAATTGTATCTCGCCGAGAACTTCTTCTTCATCAGCTCGTAAAGTTCACAGTTGGATATTCTCCCGTTGGGCAGGGTTTGCTTTAATCGCCACGCTTGGCTAGCGGATTGGCAATCGCAGTAGCAGACGTCTGCTGCTCCTGCTACCGCTGCTCCCTTGGTCTTGGATTCTATGTCTGGCGCTAATGAAATGGTTATACCACCATCTATATATATCAAAACATATTTTCAGCTACCATAGTCACACCTTAAGACACTCACAAGACGCAATGGATAGATAGGTATTCTGACGCCGTAACCACACTTTTTTATACGTGGTAGAGACATGTTACAGTTATATTATGGTTGTAGCATGAATCCTTCGGCTCGACCGGGGAAGGACAACGCTCCCATAGAATACCAGCGTAAAATAGCAGCTCAATGCTGCTGTGTATCATAGGGTGAGTGTAGAGAACCGGATACCATTTTTACTGGAAACAAGGCATTCCATCTTAGTCCTCAGGGTAATGTCCACATCTTTTGATTCTTAATCGATGATATATGTAGGCATCCACTTACGATCAGGTGGGCTGTGTGCTCTCATGTCACCCTCATCCTATAAAAAATACGGTGCTGAGAGCTATAGTTTAGCAATATTACCGCCGATACTTTGGCTGGAATGTTGTTGTGCATCTTGGAGATTATATTCCATATATGTTGCTCCTAACTTTATTACCGAGCATTAGTATTCAAAATAGACGGTGACTGCTGCCTGACTGTTGCTCCTGTATTATTTTTTAAATAAATTTCTGAAGTATATTTTGTCACGAAAAGTAGCAATTGTTTATATTAAATATCTGTGAGATGTGAACCTCTAGTTATTGTGTATGCTTAAATGCCTTAAGTTACTATCGTCGTATTTCAAACTACCATTAAGATCTCTCAAGCATTTAGCAATGTATATAGCCATAACACACTGACAACTAAAAGTACGATAAAAGAAAATTTCATAATACATGACACTGGCAAAAGCACAACAGAAACAAAGAAACGTGAAACAAGAATGAATCTGCACTCTAAAATAGGAGCTTAATACTGTTGTGTTTCGTATTGTGAGTGTAGAGATCCCCAGACCCTTTTTTATCGGAAATGAGGCATTCCATTTTAGTCCTCAGAGGTGACAACGCATCTGCGTTTTGATTCTTAATCGAGGATAAATGTAGATGTCTATAGGCCACAAGAATCACTTACCATCAGGTGAACTGTGCGCTGGTTTGTCACCCTTATTGTATAAAAATAAAAATCAACAGGATAAACAACATTGCACTGCGTTGACGACGGTAACTTGACGCCAATACTATTGTACCTGGAAATTTGCTTTTAGCTTGTTTTGAATTCTTTAAGGAGTTATGATAGTAGTAACTAATGAAATATTTTACCAGCAACCAGACCAATGTAAAGCATTTATAAACTGACAATATTTTTGAGAAAATTACCTTAAAAAAGTTAAATATACAGTCTATATACTCATGTTGGGCACAGGCTTTTCGTTTCTGAAAGCGTTATGAAGCTATTAATTCGCCGCGCTGCTCTAGTGATTAAGTAGGGGTAAGTATGATGAATGGAAAGAAGTTTGATAGGTTGAAAGACTAGTTTGTGACTTAACAGTTTAAAAAAAATATTATAATTATATATCATCTTTTCAACATTCATTTAAAAAGTACTTAAGAGCACTTAAATGTTGGCTGACCGAAATAGGGGCAATATTTTATTACGGATTTCGCAAACGGGAATGATTTTCAATATCACAGACTACGTTTAGTACCTTTTAACGTTCTGTCCCTTAATAGAATTTAGGAACGTTTTGAGTCTCAAGAAGTGGTCTTAATGTTTTATACGTATTTATACTGGCTATCGCTTAATTGGAAAACGCTTTTGTCGTAGCTTTACTGTTACAATGAGACATAAAATATAACTGAAATAAATTGTATCAAGGCTATAATATATAGGTGGAAAAAGCTTCTCGAATGGCAAACTCATATCGGTAAGCGAAGTGTATGGCGGCCGCCCACTAGATAGAGTGACGACCTGGTAAGAGTTCAATTGATACAGGTTGCCCAGGGTCTCGCTTTGTGGCATTGCTTGGGGGAAGGCCTATGTTCAGCAGTGGGTTTATGATGAGCTATAATGATGAATGAAGGCTGTAGGCCTTATACGATGTATGTGATATTTCATAATATTTCTTCTATTGTTTAATGATCGTCAATTCACTGGATAATATTGGACTATAGGTAGCAATAAAAAAAACCCTTCATTAATAAAACCTCATGTAAAAGCGTGTACTTGGCAATATTACTACAACGGCTAAAAGAGTGGCACAAATTCTTACTGTGGCCACTCCATCCGGGTGAAGTCTTCATCCTCAGGCATCCAGGTATATCTCTTCGGATCGGGTTGACTACACACGGAGCGTGGCCTCCGACGAAAGTAGGAACATTCCAGGTCGGCATCATAGGCGCATAGCTCTGGTGGTGCTGGTGTGGGTTGCCCAAACCTAATGCAAAAATACATGAACTTTATTTCTTATCTGTATACTATACGTGAAGAAAAAGCCTTGTACCCCTTTTTAAGAATATTGTACGTATGGACAGTGCCAGATTTCTATATATCTCTATATATCGAGCAAAGAGCAAAATGTGTATATAATATGTCTTACAAATAAATAAAATAAAATAAAATCATTGTTTACGTTAATGTTGTCAATGTCAAACACATAAAAGTCTATGGTTAAACAGTCGCACAGAGTAAAGATTATCACCGAAGAATTTAAAAATATTACCAAGAAATATTTAGAATTTATTTAGAATTATCAAGAGATATTTGTATTTTGATGTGCAAATTGAAAGTGAAATACAATTTGTATTAATATAATAGAACAAAGGCCTTCCCCATAGATTGCCTCATACGAGCAATATTTGCTATAGTTGATACGCTTGGCAAGCGGGTTGGTAACCACAGTGTTTTATTTTTATTCGTTTTTTTTATAGGATAGGGTGACAAACGAGCACACAGTCCACCTGATGGTAAGTGGTTGCTGCGGCCCATAGACATCTACATCTATCCTCGATTACAAATCAAACGGCAGATGCGTTGTCACCCGTGAGGACTTAGATAGAATGCCTCGTTTCCAGTAAAAAGGGTCTCGTTTTTAGGAATACGCTACTGCCCATCTCTGCCGCCTCTGACGACAACCACGGGTTGATATCTGGTAGTGGATATTATTACCCGCCACTACACGGGCATTGATTACAATTATACATAATACACATATTTTTAATTTCCCGCGGCAATGCTTTATTAATTCGGTATTTATTTAAATCAATGTTAGTATGTAGATTACTAACTACCTACTATTATTAAAAGTCGTACCTGGGATATCGCTGTATGGGCGCATAATCTGTGTTGAGGTTCTCATCCGAGGGCACTCGACGGCGGACGCACACGGATAAAAATGATGCTCTGTAAAAAAATGTTAAGCAAAATCCTTACATTGCCTTTATAAACGTAGCATGAATGGGTCGGCTCGACCGGGGTAGGACACGCTCTCACAGAATACTAGCGTAAAATAGTAGTTTAAAGGTACTGTATTTCGTATGGTAGGTGTAGAGGACCGGACACCCTTTTTACTGGAAACGAGGCATCTCATCTTAGTCCTCAGGGGTGACAATCTGCATCAGCATTTTCATTCTTAATCGAGAATAAATGTAGATGTCTATGGGTCACAGTATACACTTACCATCAGGTGACCTGTGTGCTCGTTCGTCACCCTTATTCAATTTTAAAAAAAAATAGACTACAGAAAAACTTTTAAAAATCATTTGCTTATTTTTAAGATTCCGTGTCTGAAAAAAAACGGTATTACCTTATTTGCCGGCTGTCCGCCTGTGTTAAATTAATGTCAATTGCTAAAGTTTACAGAGCTTTAAAGGTGTAAAATTCAACTATGTAAGTCAAGGCAATCAAAAGACAACATATTTTGAAACTCAAAAATCACTAATTAACATCTATTGGGTAGTTCCATTTGACATATAACAACGAAATTTGACGACAAGCAAGTTCTCACGAGCACGAGTCAATCTAATAAATAAAATATTTATCGCGATTACAAACTTACATTTGCAGTTGGAGCATCGCCCCTGCCGTAGACCGATGTTTGCAAGAATTTTTTTTTTATTTCCGCCAAACAGTTAAGCTTGCCTATTAATCCGAACTAAATTTCAGTTAAGCAATATAATATAAATAATGCTTAGTGCTTACCTTTCTAGTAATTTATGAATTTGAGTAATGCAATTATTTTGGTGAAAGTAAGTAAGTATCTAAGTTTATACGCTCCGTTTTTATTTACTTCTAACGACACCAATAAACCTGGTGAATCTCTAGGTGGTAGGACTGTTTTCTGCCTAGCAATCCGACTGGGTACGGAACAATCTCTTACGTATCAATTTCGCCAAATGACAGTGTTCCGGCCTGAAGGGACAGCCAGTTAAATACAGGCTGTGAGGCATTCCATCTTAGTCCTCAGAGGTAACAACGCATCTGCAGCTTTCTTACATGAAGGTCCGGCCAACTTCAACGGACTTTCGTCCGCAGTTGTCACTTACCATTAGGTTGATCGTCCTTCATTTGTCACTTTAGTTTCATAAAAATATTCTAGAATAAGCTTTGAGGTCGAATAAATGAGGTAAATAACTAACAGGTATTGAGTTAATTTACGTGCTTCCGAGAGATATTCTTTTGCTCCCCTCTTTTATATGTACTTAATGATATTCAGTAGGCGTGGAATAATAAAATGCTCAATTCGTTACTTTACCCTTCGTAAGAGGTTCACGTTTTATTAGTCAAAACGGAAAAGAAATTGAATGTGAAAGAAAATAAACAAAAACCAATCCAATAAAGTTTTCTTAATTTAAATAACCAATTGATTTCTTTTATGTACATTTAAATTAAACTCAATGACGACGCTTAATAAAAATAACTTACTTTTAGTAATTAACTACAAAAATCGTAGTCTTCATCTTTTTTTCTCTGCATCATTTGAGACATGTGACTATATAGAGGTATCTATAAATTACTTGATTCTTCATAATATTAAGTGACAAACTCGCTGATAGTCCACCTTACTCGCTGATAGTCCACCTTACTCGCTGATAGTCCACCTTAGTCGCTACTACAACCCATAGACACCTACTGTTTTACCACCATTTACCATCACGTGGAATAGTTGTCAAGCACTGGCTTACAATAATAATAAAAAACTACTACAAAAATACAGATGCGTTATTGAACTCGCATTTTATTTTATTTTATTTCCTTCAAGACATATAATTGTGTAATAACATAATACAGTTCATATAAAAAGGAAAACCAAGTAATTGTACAACCAGCATCGTTATTCACAAAGTAATACCACAATAAGTGTAATAATATGTTGCATAAAAAACATGTATTTTTATCACAAATAGATAAATCATTCAAGATTTCCCCGACCAAATCCCAGCCAACACAACCACTATATTGGCTATGCTAGCTAAAACTTACACGAAAAAACAACAGTTACATCTATAATAATCTGTTAAAACTATTGGGCAATACTTTACTTAATAGTACATTATTTTAAATACACTTTCTAAACATTACAAATGATAATACAAAAATGTCAAGATCAATAAAGTTATCATTATATGATTTCGTGATTCGCCGTAATGAAGCTTGCTCTCCCGTGTTTGTTCGGCACATCTTAGGGCCGAATTAACTATGACGAATGCATTGGGACCAAATAGATATGCGTAAATATATTTGATTAATAAGTTGATCGCAATCTAATTTATTATGACAGATTTTGTATAAGAATAAGATCAAACTATAATCTTCTCAATTTTAGAGTGGAAATTGACAATTCATCCAAAGTTTATATCCGATTATATTTACGTTATACCAATTCCAACTGATCACTATATTTTCATAATCTGGATTCCAAACACAAGTAGCGTATTCGAGTTGTGATGTAATAATTGACTTGTATCCTAATAAATATCTTGCAAGCATTTTGAACAGATTACAGGTCCTTCTTACATAAGTATAAGCTGGAAGCCTTTAGTCGTTATGTGACCGATACGAGCTTCAAAATGTAGCTTCGAGTCAAATAGTATTCCCAGGTCTTTTATTATGGAGACTTTTTCCCAGGGAGTGTTACAAAGAGAGTATATGAAATGGAATGTTTTTAGTGGTTGTAGTAGATTTACATTTAGTAAATACCTCTGTACTGGGAAGAACCAGCAAGAAACCAAGTAGGACAATTGTTTTTTAAATAACAGCTTACAATCATGTATGTTTTTTTTTTTTTTTTTTTTTTTACAGAAGAGGGAGCAAACGAGCATGCGGCTCACCTGATGTTAAGTGACTACCGCCGCTCATGATCAACTGCAACACCAGGGGAATTGCAGGTGTGTTGCCGGCCTTTTAGAAACAAGTAAGCTCTTTTCTTGAAGGTCCCCAGGTCGTATCGGTCCGGAAAAATCGCCGGTGGTAAACTATTCCACAGAGAGGTCGTACGCGGAAAAAACTCCTTGTGAAACGTACAGTGTTTAACCGCCAAACATCCAGATGGTGTGGATGATATCGGGACGTTTGCCGCGTTGTGCGTTCACGAAATTTGGCGGCTGGGATTAATCCGAACAATTCCTCAGAGCACCATGTCAAATAAAATGCAAAGAGATGCAACATCTCTTTGCAGCGCCAGTGAATCGAGCCGATCGGAAAGCACTTGGTCGTCGACGCTCCATCTGCTGTTTTACGCTGGTATTCTATGAGAGCGTGGTCCTTTTCCGGTCGAGCCAACCCATTCGTGCTACAACAATAATATATCTGCAGCAAGGCTCGCCACGTACAAAAGCAAAACGCACCTTTGACGCTGCTCTGGGTTGCCTGACTTTAAATTTCACTTCAAGTGTAAATGAGATGGTTTTACCACAATCAGAATATATTAATTTTCTGTGGCATTTCCCATAGCAGCTTATTCCAAAAAATCTACTGTTACATATTTTAGCGTGACAACTATGACAGAATCCTTTTATGAGGTAATCTACGAGTAAGGCCTATGGGTAAGCCTATGATCAGCAGTGGACTTTTATAGGCTGTAATGGATGGGTAGATGAACATACTTCAGCGAGTATAAGAAGTTATTATAACACATCGAAAATAATCAACTTATAGTATAATTTTTTAATTAAACTCAATATTATATAAAGGGATTCGCTATCAATCTCCGAGAGTAATAATTTCCACGTACGTACATTTTGGAAAACTGACTACGTAAAGAACTTATATATTATGCACGAATAAGAAATAGATAGCGCCCGAGAGAACGATCTTATTCTTTGTAAGTAATAACAGGTTCAAACTTCCATGGATAAGTTTTATTCGTAAATGTTATCACTAATCGAATGTTCCTTTTTTATTCGAGTTCTTGACTTATAAGAGAATTTCTCTTAATACTTTAAGCAAGCTATTCTTGTGTAATATATGTTATTAGTTTCTCAGAAACAGCTCTAAAGTTTTGGGTGAAATATTGTACTTAAAAATAATAACTCTAAATAAAAGTGCAAACCGACCTTAAAATTAAAAAATTAGTGCCTCGAAGAATTAAATACCTTACTTCATAATCTATTGTGTGGATTTTTTATTAAGTTTTAATTCGGTTTGTATTTTTTATTAAAAGTAAAGTGGTCTAAGAAATTTCACAATTTTAAAGTGATATTATGTTATCCGAATAGTCTTAAACAACACTTATAGTCAACCAAATCTAAGAAATACATTTTGACAGCTGTCAGACTTATTGCACCAGGCATGCCAAACAAAAAATGGGAACGTACAATATTCGATTCTTAAAAAAATCGATATCGATTATTTAGTGTTGGTAATCATTTACAGTTTCGTTTGAATAATACCAGAATAAATTAAAATAGGATAATTTAAAACACTAGATTTATCATTTTCTACGTATTTGTTATTAGGTACTGCTTATTTCTAGAGAGGCACAATTATAAAAATTTAAGATTATAACCAAATTAAAAATAAATTTATTCAATCACTTTCAGTACAACTAGTTGAACTGTCGTTGTTTGATTTTCAATAATGCAGTCAATATTAATGTCTCTTTCAAAGTCATCCATAATAAATTTTTTTTTGTTTTTTTTTACCAGGTTCGCCCAATGATCCTTTGTGAAATCGGTTGTCGAAACGAAAATTGTCGAAAAAAACACAAAATCAAAAAATTACACACAGTAAGCTCCCGAAAAGGCGGGATATTGAAATTACGTAGTAGTTTTTATATCGCGGCCTTATATACGAGTATTTTGCCTACACCAATTTACTTCGAAAATTAAAAAATATACTTGTTTTATTCATGATTCATGTAATTTAAGGAATTATAAAAATAAAAATTAAATTAAACAAATTAT